CATAGTCTAGTAATCAGTCAGTCAATCAATCAATTAAGCAATCAATCAGTCAATCAATCAATCAATCAATCAATCAATCAATCAATCACTTAATCAATCAATTTATTAATAAGTTTTATTAAGTTTGCCAGTCAATCTATCAATCAATCAATCAATCAATCAATCAGTCAATCAGTCAATCAATCAATCAATCACTTAATCAAACAATTTATTATTAAGTTTTATTAAGTTTACCAGTCAATCTATCAATCAATCAATCAACCAATTAATATCTCAGTCTGTCAATCAGTCAGTTAATCAAATGTTTGATACTATGATTCCACAATACCAGTCGAGCGGTCAGCTTATCAGTTAATCAAGCCGTCAATCAATCAATCAATCAAGCAATCAATTTTTCAGACATTAATTCAAATCAAATGGATATACGCTCAATCAACATGCTAATCAATCAATCAATCTGCTCAGTTACTTAAGTCAATCAGACAATCAGTCAATCAATCAGTATTTTAGCTGCTCAGTCAGTCAGCCAATCAGTCAGTACGTTAGTCAGTTTCATATGTATCTATCAATGCTTTAAGAAAGAATCGATCAATCAAGCTCAATCAGTTAGTTGCAATCAATCAGTCAATCAATCAATAATTTCGCATGAAATGCAATCGTCGTTCATTGCATTTGGGCACACTGTGCATACGCAACCAGAGCAAGTACAGTGAAGACTAGACGACAGCAATTGAGGCTGGCAAATGGCAGATGGAGTGGACAAAGCTGAAGCAAATCAAATGCGAAAATATTTCATGGAAAAGTGGAACAATCGATTAGGCATTTCAGCAGCAGAGCACAAAAACCAACAGCAGCAACAGATAATGTTGCTGTTATTAGGGCAGTCAGCGGTGCCGCCCAAGCAGCAGCAGCAGCAGCAGCAGCAGCAATAGAAAAAAGTGACCAGTAGCCACCCAGAAGGGCGCTTGGTGCGCCCACAAGCCACGAACTGAGGACAGGCATGAAAAAAGCATCTGGAACTGCAACTGCAACTGCAATTGCCATTGTGCTTGAGGTGTTGGTGGTGCGGCTGTTGGTGCGGTGCATAGAAAGTGCAAACAGTTTTTTAGGACTTGTCCAATGCGATGCGTCTGCAACTGAAAGTTGCCCCGTCTGCCCGGTATAAACAAACAGACGAATGGGGAAACCGATCAGCGCTGACAACAAACGCATGCCACGAGCAACAGCAGCAGCAGCAGCAGCAGCGGCAGCAGCAGCAACAATTGCTGCAACAGCCGGCTAAGCCGATACCGATAGCGATACCGATACCGATACCGCAACACCGTATTTGTATTCGTGTCTCAGTATCTCACTTTTTTTTTTTTTTTGCTGTCTATCAATGAAAAGAAGAAATTTCGCCATCAACAACGGCAGCAACAGCAACAATAGCAGCAGCAGCAGCAGCAGCAAATACAGCAACTACAACAGCAGCAGCAACATCAATACCTACAGCAGCAACAACAGCAATACCTACAACATCAGCAGCAGCAACAACAATTCTCTGCTCGCTGCGCTGCTTGGCTCGTGGTTGTCGGCGCCGTTGCGCATGCGAAGTGTTTCGCTGCGAGAAAGCAGGTGGATGCAGCATTCGGCGCTTAACCACGGCGCGAACCAGACGCGTTTTCAACCACAACGCTTGCCGCCACAGCTGCTGCAGCAACAGCAACAGCTCACAAGCGACACAACAATTGTTCACGCAACAAAAAAAAAAAAGCACAAAAAAAAAAAAAACAAAATAAGATAAAAACAAATTGTAATTGAAAAACAAAAACGAGAGAAAAACAAAACAACAAACAAAACGAAAGCCAACAACAAAATTTGGCCAAGTGGCAGATATAAAAATATTTTTTTTTTAAATAAACAAGAAGCAGCAACACTCCTGTGCCTGTGTGTGCGTGTGTGTGCGTGTGCGCGCGTATCCTGGTTTTATTTTTTTTTCTGTTAACTAATTCGATTTTTTTTATTGTTGACTCTTTCTGTTAGATATTTTTTGTTAACTATAAATAAACATTTTTTTTATTGTGTGTTCGCGCGCCTGCAACAGTTGTTGATTGTCCGCGTGCTAGTCGAACAACAACGGCAACAACAGCAACAATAACAACTTCAATTTGAGCCAATTGGCAGCATTGACAACAACAACAACACTAGCTGCAACTGCAACAACAACAATAGCAACGCAGAACAGCAACTGCTTTCGAAAGTCGCATCGAGCACATCCTGTTGTTCGGCATTGCATCAAAATTGGAATCGCTTCGCTCTCGCAATTGGTCCAAGGCGTAGGTAAGTGCTCAGCGCACGCACGCACACACACACACACATACAAATAGGCCTAGTCACAACAGCTGAAAGAGATAACTCAGCTTGCTTCAATCAATTTGATTGAAGAACTTACTCATACTCCTATTATATGCTATATGCTATCGTGTCACAGTTTGCAGGTTAAGTGAGTTATAACTGCACTGAAACTATAGAATTTGATGGCTTAATACATCATCTGTGGCATGAAGTTTCCCAGAACTGATGCTGATTGATACACTTAAGCCTAACTCAATTTCAATGTGGAATAAGCTTCAAGGCAAGCAGCTAGTACTAATGGTGATAAAGCTCTGACTTTGTCCGCTAACAATCAGTCAATCTATTTTTCAATCAGTCAATCAAGCAATAAATCCATGAATTAATCTATCAAGCTATCAATATGTCAGTCTATCAAACTGTCAATCTTTTAGTCTATCAAACTATCAATCAGTCAATCAATCATTATCAATTTCTTATAGTTCCTTTATATAAGAAAAAATGGCTTAGACAAAAAGTAACTATAGATATAGCAAAATATATATATATCATATATATATATATATATATATATATATATATATATATCCTTATTAGAGAACAATTTCCCATTATATGGATAAACATATATATAATATTCCTTATTCCTTAACAATATCCTGCCAAACTACTTTGAGCATATACGAGAAGATATCTTATCTATAATGCGATAATATTTATATATATATAGATATAAATATATATATATATATATATGTATATATATATATATATATATATATATATATATATATATATATATATATATATATATATATATATATAAATCTACTCTAGTAATATATAGTAACATATATATGAAAAGGAAGCAGCTGAAATCGAATCAGTAGTTCCATGATACACATAACACTTGATTGACTCATAATTTTGATTGACTGTCAGGATTTGACATCATTAATATATAAACACTGCTGATACATATATATATAAATATATTTATATATATATGTATATATATAAGCTACTGGGGCTTAAGAATTTCTTAGTTTTCATAGATTCCTAGAGCTATGAATATTTATATATATGTTTATATAGGTAAAGTTAGAGATTTCATTTTTTTGGCTATCAATTGTTTCTATAAAAGAATATATATATTGGGTATATGTGTATTATACTACTATATGCTATATATAGATATATATATATATAGAGGATATGCATATGTTGTATTCCTTAATTGATCTTATGATCTTATGATAGCAGCACAAACAATTTGTTTTAAACACTTCTTTTAAAGATTTTGATTTCGATCCACTTATATATACTATATATATATATATGAAAGATAAATGCTTTTCCGCAAGTGGCTTACTTTAATGATATATGTGATATACATGCACATGCTGAAATATGATCTAAGCATTTAGTGTTTTCGTTTTTTAAGAGCTGAGTCTAAAAATAGATTTGCCCAGCTCATTATGTTCTAGATGGTTATGTTTATGCATCTTTATGGCTATGCCCTAGCTTCACTCTCTCTCTCTCTGTCACTCTACTCCCCCCTCTCGCTCTCTCTCTTTCTGTTTCTTTCTCTTTGACTGACTGCCACTTATTTCTGGTCTACTGAAAGTAGCCTGTCTTCAGCCTTCAGTCTTCAGTCTTCAGTCTTCAATCTTCAGCTTCGAGTTTTGCAGTTTGTCAGAGTCTTGAGTTTTCTAATTGCTCGACTCGTATTTGTCTTGGGCCTGTTGACGTTGACCCACTTGGCTGATGGAACACATTATTAACACATTTCACCTCCAGTCAGCCACCTGACCAGGTGAATAAGTTGTCATTAAAAAAGAGATGCGGCTGCTGCTGCTTCTTCATTTCTTTGCCAGCTTGCAGCCTGTCACTTGTCGCTGTTTAATGTATTTTTCTTGTTGTCTTTGGCTTTCAATTCGTTTGCTCAGTGCACAGTTAGGGCTTTCAATTTGAAGGGCGTGGCAGCTGGGTAGCTGGTCACTAAGTACCAGTTGTAAGTGAGAGTGCGACACAGGTGAGGCAGGGAGGGGCGGGCGACGTAGGCAGAGGAGAAATCGCTGTGTATCAATGAATAAATGTCAAATCAATCAAACGAATCAGTCAATCAAACAGTCAATCAGTCAATCACTCAATCAGTCAAGCGGCATTTCCAGCTGCGATATTAATAGCAATAAATTGATAATTAACAGACAAAGCCTCAGCTGAAAGCGAAACTGCCAATAATCAAATAATGATGCTAGCAACAACAACAGCCACAGCCGCAGCAACAGCAACATGTGAAAAGCAACAATGTAAACACTTTCTAGTGTTTCAACAACTGTTGCCGCTGTGTCTGCTGCTGCTGCTGCTGCTGCTTCTATATTTCTAACTGCTTGTCACATTTCATTTCATTTGCTTTCCAACAACAATATATTGCAGGCAACAGCAACAGCAACAGCAACAGCAGACAAAAGCGCGCACATGACAGCAAAAATAACGTATTAATTGCAATTTATGCACATTAACAACAAGCAACAAGCAACAGCAGCAACAACAAACAAGCAACAATAATAAACAACGTGCCAGCTAGCAGCAACATGCAGCGACAACAGCAACACTCACAGCAACAGCAGCAAAAACAACAACAACAGCAGCAGCCAAATAGCTTAATGCAACAACAGCAACAACTAAAGCAACAACAGCAACAACAACAACAACAACAAATGCGCTGCCAAAGCTGTCGACAACGTCTGGGGATCAAAAAGATTTGGCTGCCGCTTATCATCTTCTTTTCACTGCAGGTGAGCAACAACAACAACAACAAACAACATACACTTCTTTTCTACACACATCATTTAAATCTATTGAAGCTAAGCAGCAACAACAGCAACAGCAAACAACATTTGCAATTTCGATAATTATCGATCAGCGCATTTGTGTGTAAAGTGAAAGAGTTTTGCGGCTTAGCGCGCTTTAAAGTAGCTTTAAAGATCAAGAGATAAGCAGCGAAGAAGAAGAAGAAGAAGAGGAGGAGGGACAGGCATCATTAATACATATATAATATAGTAAACCGATTGTGATGGGGATTACTTCAAATTTCTTTTACATAAATACAAATTTATCGATCTGCCTGAGTTGTCAGATTGTGCAGTTATAGAGGCAACATATATATAACAGATATGTATAATATATATACATATATATATAAATATATATATATATATATATATATCATATATCATATAACATATATCATATATCCTATATCATATATCATACATCATACATCATACATCATATATCATATATCATATATCATATATCATATATCATATAACATATATCATATATCATATATCATATATCATATATCATATAACATATATCATATATCATATATCATATATCGTATATCATATATCATATATCATATATCATATATCATATATCATATATCATATATCATATATCATATATCATATATCATATATCATATCATATATCATATATCATATATCATATATCATATATCATATATCATATATCATATATCATATATCATATATCATATATCATATAACATATATCATATATCATATATCATATATCGTATATCATATATCATATATCATATATCATATATCATATATCATATATCATATATCATATATCATATATCATATATCATATATCATATATCATATATCATATATCATATATCATATATCATATATCATATATCATATATCATATATCATATATCATATATCATATATCATATATCATATATTATATATCATATATTATATATCATATATCATAATCCGTTTAGCTGCAGAGCTCTTAATGCTAGATTAATGATATTAGATTGATAGATATAAGATGTAATACCTAATATCTATCAGGTTAAATGTGAGATGTCTACTATGTTATCTTACTTGTTTTTCTTTAGCATGCTCTATAGATTAAGACCTTTAAGAGATCTTCTCTATAAATACAATAGTTCTGCAGATATCTCAGCTGCATTGTGTAAGACTTTAAAGAAAGCAAATGAATTAGATATTCAGAACTATGACATAATAAAAAGCAATACAAATTTCTTATTTACTATGCTATATAAGTACAAAAAACTTGTTCCTTCCACAAATACTGTCATATATATTCAGAGTGTGGCCTATGGGACTATGCTAAGTAATTACGAGAGGACAGCAACTATAGTTAATAGCTGTTCTCAATATGTTCTCACATCATTCCATATCATTCCACATTTCTAGCTCACTAGATGCACGTTCTTCATGGAGTATTCCTTATTATCTATGGCTACTTCACCTTGGCTAGTTCCTTATTTGTTCTATTTTCGTTTCTAGTTCCCCATTTCTGCGCCTTCTGATTCCAATTCTCCTTCTCTGATTTCCAGTTCTGTGTTTCTCATTCTTCATTTCTCGTTTCCCTTTCCACATTCGCTATTTTGTTCTATTCACCTTGTTCCCTCTGTTAACTTTGTAGCTCCTCATTCCTCATTCCTTATTCTTTATTATTAATTTTTCATTAGCTGCTCCTCATTTTTAACTCCCAATGGGAGCTCCTCATACTTAGCTCTTCGTTTTCCATTTCTTGTCCTTCATGCCTCGTGCTTAATTCGAAATTCCATTTTCATCATTCCCTGTGCCCTATTCCCCTCATTCCCTTTTCCCCATTCCACATTCCTCGCTGAACATTCCCCTCGCTGCCTATGACACAATTGAAGCATGGATTCAAAGCTGATTTCCCTTTCCTTTGGCACGACAGCCTCGACAACAACAACAACAAAAGAAAACTCTTCCTTTTCGTTTCGTTTCTGTTTTTTTTTTTCCACTAACTTTTCGTTTTTCCCAGCCTCGTTGCGTTCAACTTTGAACCAGCGGCCAGATCTTGTCCAGGTTTCCGTCTGCTGCCAAAAAAAAAAGAAGCAAAAAAAAAGACAAAAGATTTTCGCATACTCTGGATGGAGAAGCTGCTGCGGCTGCTGCTGTGACTTTTTCACATTTACTTTCTCTCGCTCTGCCAGACGGCGACTGCGACTGCGACTGCGACTGCAGCGGCGACTGCGACTGCGACTGCGATTCGAACCCGGAGCCAGACAGCAAAACTCGACATTTCAGCATTGGTCGAGGTCAAGATTAACAACAACAGCCGGCATTGGCTTTGGCTCTGGCTCTGGCTGTGGCTGTGGCTTTGGTTCCGTCTTCAGCTCCGGCTGCCGCATCATTAGCTGTCGCATTAGCAGCAGCAGCAGCAGCAGCAGCTGCTCACGACTTTTTGTTATTGTCGCTGGGCATTTTGCGCATTGCCCGTCGCCAAAATGGAAAACTTGGCACACATTTCTATTAACGCAGGCGCTAGCAGGCCCCTCCCCCTCCTGCTTCACTCTCCCCTTCACAGGCCCCCATTTGGCTCCTTTTAACTACGGCTCTGCGCGTTCTATCGCATTGCGGAACCGGCTCACGCGCATCTCAAAATCTGAAAAGCGAAATTTGGGCTCCCTCCGCACCTGCTCTTCGCGCAGCCAGTGCTCTGCAGCTGCCGCAACTCTTCCTCTTTGTTATTCATAGCCATCGCCCATGGACTGCTCCAAATCACGTCCAAGCCGCGGACTTGGCATGCAAAAATCTTCATTTTTTTGGTTTTTTTTTTTTTTTTTGATATTTTTAGAATTTGTTTTGGGAACTCGTTTGCCAATTTATCTCAGTGTATGTGTGTGTGTGTGTGTGTCGTCTGCCGAATGGGCATCATCACTTTCTACCTTAAACAGGATTGGCACAGGATGCCACGTCGCGCTGATTATGTGACATCCCCATTGGAAGCTGCTCACTGCGGCTGGGTGAAAGTTGTTTTGGGCCCGCGGCACAGTTTGGACCAAAGAAAATGCTTGGGTCTGGGCCAGCTGGCCACATAGACTGTCTCGTCTGCCACCTGTCTATCTCTCTCTCTCTCTCTGTCTATCTCTTTGTGCATTAAATCACTTGACTAGCTGAAAGAGTAGAAAATAATGTAGAAAAAGCTTTAAAGAAAATTGATGAAAAATTATTTTTATTTTGAAAATTCTAAAAAAATGAGCAAATTTTAAAAAACTTTTTAAAAAATTTAAAAATTAAATTTTATTAAATACTTTTTTTTTAAATATTTTTTTTAATTTTCAAATTTTCTTTAATTCATATATTTATAAATATATATAATATATATAAAAATTATATATATATATATATATATATATAAATTATTTATGAATATTATATGCTCTATTACATTCACTAGAAGTACCTATAATGTTGTTGAGCCTAGTTCTAACTTCCCGTTAAATTCTTTATTTTTTAGATATTAAACAAATTCTATTTATAAACATCTTAAATCTTAGCTAGGGACAAGCCTCAACAATGTGAAGCTGATCAAATATTATAAAAACATAAATTATTTCTATTTAAATTCTGAGAGAATCTAAACAAAATTGAGTTTGCATAAGACTTGCTCAGGTTTAGTTCCTGAAACTCGAATTGGGATTTAGATTTGTTTAAGACTTGTCTGAGTTAGGTTCTTGACAGCCGAATTGACATTAGCATTTGCCTAAGAGTTGTTCAAGTTTAGTTCCGGAAGCTTGAATTGACATTAAGATTTCAATAAGCCCTGCCAGAGTCTACCCTTCTTGACAGCCGAATTGACATTAAGATTATACCAAGACTTGCCTAAGTGTAGCTTTTGAAACTCGAATTGACATTCAGATTTACCTAAGAGTTTTACAAGTTTAGTTCCTGAAACTCGAATTGGGATTTAGATTTGTCTAAGACTGGTCCGCGTTAGGTTCTTGACAGCCGAATTGACATTGGGATTTGCCTTAGAATTGTTCAAGTTTAGTTCCTGAAGCTCGAATTGATATCATGGTTCACCTAAGACTTGCCTGAGCTCGAATTGACATTAAGATATTCCTAAGACTTATCCAAGTTTAGTTCTTGAAGCTCTTGAAGCATTGACATAGATCTGAACAGATTTGCTAGTTGCAGCTGGAGCTGTAGCACTAATCTTGGTCTAGGGCCATGATTGGTGTCAGTTTCGTCTCACGGCGTTTGAACTGAAGGAGAATGTAAATAATATCGTTACTATAACGCTCTATATGCTAGTCGCCTGGCTGATTGGCTCACCATAGAATAAATAGTTTCCCGTAGAACTTGCCGCTGATCTGAGCTGAGTAATTAGCGGCGCGATGGCTGACGTGCTGTGCAAGACAATTTGAAAATCGCGATCTCAGCTCATCCGGTTCCCGTTTTCTAGCCTTGACATCGTTTTTGGCCAAGACGGATTTGCCGGGCCAATTGGGTCGCTGGAGATGGCTAATAAGAAGAAAGAAAGAAAGAAAAAAGTGAAATTTGTTACACTTGGCGCAGTTTTCTTTTGTTGCTGCTGCTGCTGCTGCTGTTGTTGCTTTTCCTTATGCAATTGAATCGCTAGTCGCATCCGCCATTCGCCATTCGCCAACAACAGTTGCCAATTGGCAATTGGCATGCGACATGTGACTCTGCTCCCATTGTACTTAGTTGAAATTCTTGGCGAGACTCTCTATGTTTGACTGTGTGGCAGCTCATTAAAGCAAGCAACATTGTTGCTTTTGCTGCTGCTTCTTCTTCTTCTGCTTGTGCTCTTGTGACCCATTTTTGTGTTTGTTTTGCGCAGCTCGCCTTGATACACGCGGATGAGGTCGAGGTGGTGAAGGCAATCGCTGGCGGCGGCGGCAACGACGAGATCTCCCTTGGCCTGAGCGAGCAAGACAATGAGGTGGATCAAATGGCGCTCGAATCGGAACAGGAATTGCAGCAGCAGCAGCAGCAGCAGCAGCAACAACAGCAGCAGCAGCAACAACAACAGCAGCAACAGCAGCAGCAGCAGCAACTACAACAACAGCAATCCGTTTCCATGCCCAAGGTGCAGGTGCATTACCCGCACAATGGTCTGCCGCAGGCGCCGCCTGGCCTCAGTTTGAGCCTTGGCCTGGGCCCAGCCCGAAGTAAGTTGTCGTCGTCGTAGCTTTAGCCGAAACTTAAACTCATTTCGTTCCAACTAGGCAACAATCATCAGAATATACCGATGAGCTTTGGCCAGCCCTTCGGACCGCCACCGCCGCCCGGCGCACAATTCTATAAGGGACCACCGCCGCCGGCACCACAGCGACCCTTGGTGCTGCCGCCATCGCAGCAGCAGCAGCAGCAGCAGCAGGTGCAACAGGTGCAGGTGCAGCAGGTGCCATCGCTGGCTGATCTGAGCGTGGGCGCCTCCAGCAACAATGAGATCTGGGCCTCGCCCGTCCAGGACATGCCCAAGATCGTGTCGCTGGACGTCAAGTGCGAGAAGAACGGCATGAAGGTGTTTGTCCAGTTCGATAAGCCCTTCAATGGCATCGTCTTCTCCAAGGGCCACTACAGCAACATGAACTGCGTCCATTTGCCCTCCGGCCTGGGTCGCAGCTCGGCCAGCTTCGATATTGGACTACACGAGTGCGGCACAGCTGGCAATACGGACAACTACAATCAGGGCTATGGCCACGATGCTGGCGGCAGCGCCGGCGCTGGCACCTACTTCGAGAACATCATTGTCATCCAGTACGATCCGCAGGTGCAGGAGGTATGGGATCAGGCGCGCAAGCTGCGCTGCACTTGGCACGATCAGTACGAGAAGAGCGTGACCTTCCGACCCTTCCCGGTGGACATGTTGGATGTGGTGCGGGCCGATTTCGCTGGCGACAATGTCGGCTGCTGGATGCAGATCCAGGTGGGCAAGGGTCCATGGGCATCGGAGGTCTCTGGCCTGGTCAAAATTGGACAGACCATGACCATGGTGCTGGCCATCAAGGACGACGACTCGAAGTTCGATATGCTGGTGCGCAACTGCGTTGCACACGATGGCAAGCGGGCGCCCATTCAGCTGGTGGATCAGCGTGGCTGTGTCACCCGACCGAAGCTAATGTCCCGCTTCACCAAGATCAAGAACTTTGGCGCCTCCGCCTCGGTGCTGTCGTACGCCCACTTCCAGGCCTTCAAGTTCCCCGATTCGATGGAGGTGCACTTCCAGTGCACCATACAGATCTGTCGCTACCATTGCCCGGACCAGTGCAGTGCCGAGACCAATCTGCAGGATGTGCACCACTTGCAGGTGGGACCCGAGTCCCAGTACGGACCACCACCTCAGCTACATGGCGATGCGTATCATGTGGCCAGTGCGATTGGCAAGCGACGCGATGAGCGACGCGTCCAGAGGCGTGCGCGTGCCGTTGCCGAGTCCACGGAGCAAGTGGGTCTCAATCGTATCATCAAGGTGGTATCCTCCGGCGACCTGACCTTTGCCATTGACGAACAGGCGGCAGCCGGTGGCGGCAACAACAGCAGCAGCAACGGTGGCTCCACCTTGCCACAGACAATGGTCTTTCCGCTGCGCGAGGAGGGACTCATTTGCATGACTACGCCGGGCTTTGCCATTACGCTGATCGTGCTGCTTGGCATTCTGGTGACATCGTGCTTGATTTCCGCCGTGCTCTACGTGCGACTGCGACCCTTCTCCAGCTTTGCAGCCAAGGAGCGCGCCGTCGCCTTTACGAATCCCCAGCTGGCCGCCGGCCCACTGCCCGTCATCCATTTGCCATCACCGGCCGAGGCACTGGCGGGCACGCTCTCCAAGAAGCGATCGCTCTCATGAACGTCCATTTCACATTGTACTAGTTTAGGCCATGAAATTAGCTAATTGTCTAATGCATTAGTTAAATATCAATAATTGCATAATGCCGTTAACTGGGCTTAAGCCCGCCTCTGCCCAGACTTTCTATCTAAAGCCAGGTCTCTGCCTCACTCGCCCTTAGTTTCTTTCTACTACTTGCTCAGTCTCTCTCCCTCTCTCTCTCTCTCTCTCTCTCTCTCTCTCTCTCTGTTGGTGGTAGTCAATTTAACAAATAAAAGAAAACAGATTTAACACAATTTAAAATATATGCTCTAGTTTAAGCCTAGGTTCTATTTTAAATCGGTGCTAAGCCAATGCTCACAGTTCAAATATTTAATGCCAATCTGGCAACTCTGCCTCGCCCGCTCTCTGTCTCCCTCTCCTACAATCTGACTGTACTTCCTCAACTTGTTTCGGTTACAGTTAGCATGAGCTGCCCGTGACTCAGGTCCGGCAACGCTGCTCGCTGTTAACTTTGACATTAGCATACTCTCTCTAAGACTATTCTTAACATTTATGCTTACATTATACTTATACCTATGTACACACACATACATATACATATAAACGTGTGTGTGTGTGTGTATTTCAATTAGTCACTAAATATTTTAAGTGCTTTAAACTTAGTCTAAGCTCCGAACTTGATTCGATTTTTTGACTCCATAGCTCCGTCGACTCCCCGTTCCCCCGATCCCCGAATGCATCTTGTTAATTTAAAATATATTTATACTTATATTTATATTCTTATTTATTGATTTACTTATTGATTTTATTTATTGATTTATCTATTGATTTATTGTACCATCTAGTTGTCTCCCGCACTTAATCCCTTTGTTTATGATGAGTATTTTTTTTTTTTTTTTTTGTTTACTTTTACTTTAATTGTAGAGAAGGAAATTAAGCTAACAGAATTGTTCAATAAATCAGCAGTAACAAAAATATTACAAATTTAATCGAGCTCTTGCATAACCTTCATATCGAATTATCTATTTACTTACTTACGAAATGTACGAATTACAAATACAGCTTTGCATCTATATACGAGCAAGACCAATAAACGACAATTATAAAAAAAAAAACTACAGAGATTAAAGATATTTATTTTATTATTCGGATTGCAGGTTTAGAATAGTTTTATCACGTTAAATTCTCCACATATTTCAGACCCTGTAATATCTACTATTCCTCATCTAAGCCAGCTGATCGACTGCTCTATACTTCCACTCTTTCTCTAGCTAACTTAAGCCTTATTTTGGGCGCGTCTCTTTTAACAGCTCCGAGCTCTATTTGATTCATGGTAAGTATGTTAGTAAGTGTCTGCTTAAAGTTAACTAAGCTGTAAGCTCTTCCAAATTCAGCTATTCATTCGTGCTCTGAAGAAAGAGATAGTTTGATTGATCAATAGAATATTATATTGCCTATCGATCTTTATATATCTGTGAGTCTATGAATCTAGTAATTATATATAGACAACACTAGATAAACAGATAGATAGAGAGACGCACTGATGGAAAGTCAATCGATCAATCGATCAATCGATCTACAGATGAAAATATCGAAAAATAGATATATTAAAAGATCGATTGATCAAAAAGTATATGTATGAACGAACAGTTAAATATAAGACAGACTAAATAATCTATCTATGCTAGAAATATGCATAGCTAGCTAAGCAGATAAATAGATACAAACATACATATGTTACATACATCAAAAGATAGAGATCGATAGCTCGAAAGATAGTTAACTCCTTGAATGGCAGAATATCGATAAACAGTTGTATGGATCGATTGTTAAACATAGAAAATGGTTTAGTGTACTGATCGAACAACATCAGTAAGTAATATAGTAATATAGGCAGTTGGATAGAAGCATTTCTAGACTTCAGATAGATATTCAGATAGGTTTTCAGTAGATGAACAAATATTAGATGCAAAGAAATAAAAACACTCCATGACGTATCATATTTATAGTATATTTAATCTTAACTATAATTTATTATATTTTTGCATTTAGTTCATTACAATTTTCAGAGTTTTTCCGTTCTTCTCTTTAGCTTTACGAGTATTAATAAAAAAAAGTTAATTTTATAAAGATTGTATAAATTATTTGGCCTTGACAACCGATTTGCTTTGTTGCTGTTGTTGTTTTGTTTTTCTTGTGTCTTTTTTCCATTTCTCTAATAATAATTTACTAGCTGTTTAAATAGGTATAAATACATGAGGCCAAATTCACATGGATCAGCTATACGGAATTTTGGTATCAAATCAATGAAGGAAAAGCCAAAAAGTAGAGCATATCGAAAGAGATATACATATACCTATAACTGCTCTATGTGAATTTAGATGTATATAAAAAAGTTTTCATATAATTTCAACTAAAATTGTTTTTTTTTTCGCATAAAATTTGCCAATTTGACTTTTTGACCGAAATTTGAAGTATTTTTGAATTGTTTTACAAATTTTACGCAATTCTCTCAATGGTCTAGTATTTAGTATAGATATAGAATAGATTCTTATACAGATAGATAAGTTAAATAAATAAATAAGTGTCCCCTAACATTAAGCTGTGCGTTGATCTATTTCGAAATACGATTACATCGGGCAAAAAACTATTGTTATTTGTATTTTCGTTATTGTTATTGCAAATTTTACGACTAAATGCACCCAATAAAAAAATACACAAAAATAAAATATATTTTATGCAGCACCAAAAAAAAATATGTGTGTGTGTGTGTGTGTGTGTGAAGATCGGAACATTGAATTCATCTCTCTGATCGTCTAGATTGCCTTTAGTGTAGCCTAGCTGAGATGGGAGCGACGAGTGTTCCATTCCACTTGTTTCTTTAGCCTGTTTCATTCCATTCGAATTCAATTACATCTCGTTTAAGCTAACAAACACATGTGGAAGTGAACTAGTCTATGTTTCATTCCATTTCGTTTCCTTATCCAGTTTCATTCCATTCAAATTCAGTTGTATCTCACTTTAGCTAACAAACACATGTACAAGTGAACTAAGCTGTGTTCCATTCCATTTCGTCTCTCTCATTTTTGACTCTCTTCCTTATACATTTATGTTTCATTCCATTTTGTCGATTGGCAATTAAATGATTGCATGCTGTATACTATTGTGATTCGTCACTTGATTTTTGTTCCATTCCACGGGTTCCAAGTATTTTAAAGTAGTGTATTAATGAAAGCTTCAATAATTGCCGTCAACTTAGCTTCAATTGATGTGGCTTACTATTGAAAAAGCATGTTCCATTCCATATCGTTTCTTCGTTCTTTGAATTAAAAACTGAATGCGTGTGAGAAGTTCTGCTCCATTTGTGTACGTAACAAGCGTTCGACTGATAAAGATAGCTTGTTCCATTCCATTTGTTTCCTGGCTACACTCTCTTTCTTTTCTTCTATAGGTGCTGAGTTTCGATTTTCAAAACGTATTGGAATTCGAATTAGGCGCAGGTGCAAAACCTGCCAGTCAATTGGGCATTTTTTTGTGCTTGCACAAAAAAAATAAAAAAAAATTTATTTAATAATCATGTTGCAGGATACTATCTAGGACATAGGAAGAAAGGGAACGAAGGGATGGAGAGGGGGGGGGAGATGGATGCTAGTTAGGGAGCTGAACGCAATCGGCTCACTGCACCGTTTCATGGCCAGCAACGGGGGTGGGCAACTGTTGCTGCTGCTGTTGTTGCTGCTGCTGTTGCAGGTGTCGCAAGCGGAAGAGTCGCAACGTCATCCAGGAGGCCAGGGTGCCCGGCACCGGCATAGGCGTCTGCTTTTCGAACGCCTCCTTCTGCAGCTGATAGCGATAGAGCAGCGAGCCGGCAATGAGCGCCGAGACAATGGTCGCCGAGATGACCACGATGAAGAGTATGCTGAAGCCCGGCACTGGCATGCAGATGCCGTAGACCACTTCCTCGCTGATCTTGCCCTGGAATACGGTTACCGCCTCCTGCTTAGAGTCCGGCGAAAAGGCCAGATCCGCCTCGGAGATGACGTCGTACAGACCGCTGACTCCGACATCGGCGCTGCGCACCTTACGATCGGCTATGACCAGCGATCGGCGACGCCGGGGACTGCCTGACGGCGACTCTGTCGTTGTGGACTCCGCGGAGCTGTTGGCATTTGGCTCGTCCAAGTCGATGTGATCTTCGCGTGGCTTCTTCAGCGCCTCGGCTTGTGGCCGGTAAACGGGACGCGGCACATCCTCCAGATCCGATTTGGGCTCCAAGGACCGTGGTCCGGCCATGGGCACGCCCATGCGCTTCTGCGCCTCCAGCTGGCGTGGTCCATGCGGGAATTTGCCGCTCTTCTTCAAGCCCAAGTAACGTTCGCCATCACCATCCATGTCGCTCAGATCATCGTCACCAAACAAATCGGACAGATCGACCTCCTCATCGGGATCCTCGTGCACGGGCCGTGGCTGTAGATTTCCGCTCTTCTCCTCGTACAGATCGGGGCCAGGACCGCCCATGGTCTGCTTGTGATCGTGTATGATGTCATCGTAGAAGATGTCATGATCCATGCCCATGGATGAGCCCATGCCATGATGTATCTGACTCTGCGATCCATGGCCCATGTTAGCTGGCGGCATGGCCAGATCCCTGTGCAGATCATTGTTGCTGCTGCTGCCCATCGCGTCGCCAATGTGCACATCCTTGCGCTCATGCGCATTGCTTATGGCCGGGCCCAGTCCATCGCCAGCTGCCGTGTTCTGGCAGTGATCCAGGCAGCCATGCCGGCAGATCTCCACCTTGCACTTGATGTGCACGCTGAGCGCATCCGGAAACTTGAAGGCATGGAAGAAGGCATAGGTAATGACCGTTGCCCGCTCATCGGGAGCGCGCGCCTTAAGGAAGCGTGAAATCATCTTGGGACGCAGCACACAGCCAAACTCATCCGACAAATTGATCACATGTCCCGATCCGTCCGAGGCGACGCAAGACTTGACCCGCATATCGAACTCACCTGCAGACCGCGAGAGAGAGGTTAGTTAATTGATTGATTGGCTGATTGATTGCATGGCGCACTTACCGCGATAGTCGTTGATGGCCACGACCAGAGTGAGCGTTGATCCTAGCGGCACTATTCCACTCACCGGCGGCGCCCAGGGTCCCTTGCCATGCTGGATCTCCATCCAGCAATCAACATTATCGCCTGCGCGCGGAAGAGAGTAAAGAGGCACAAAATGTTATACACTTATTAGTATTATTATTTTTTTGGGGTCAGCTTATTGAAAAGGAAAGCCCAGGCGACCGTGCACGACCAACAGATACCCTGTAGTATATAGTGGTTATTCACAAGATAGTCATATTCACATTCATAGGATTCTTCGGGCTATTATGAAGCTCTCATTGCTCCTATGTTATATGAACCAGGCTTGAATAACTTGGTTTCATTAATCGATATTTATCGATCATAAAAATTGGCAAATATATTGCATTTATATGAATTTAGCTTCTATATATAGTTTTTAGCCACCTTAAAGATTTCAATATATATATCTCATTTTGAATCTTCAGCGATGTGTTCTGAAACCGATACTTATCGATATTCTCGTTCTTCATTAGATAATATGAGATTATAGGTACTTTTGAACTTAAAAAGTTATTGATGTAATGTTAATCTTTTCAATCGATATTTATCGATATATTCAAATTTAAAGACTTCAATAAAACAAGCTTAACATCGTAGCTCTACAGCTGAAGAATATTCTTCAGTCTATAAAGACTCAGTTTTTTGCCTGCCTTTGCCTTTGTCAGACACACATATAAGTGTCGATAAATCGTGTTACTCTTTTAAGCCACATTTCACTGGATGCTGGCTATGAGAAATACAAAAAAAAAGGAGAAAAGAAAAGGCCAAGGGCCCACGCTACTTACCGCGAAAGTCAAGCTGTATTACATCCAAATCGGCAATTACCATTGGGGGCTTGGAGGCGGTCTTCTCATAGTCGTTGAACCACTCGCAGCGCAAGCGCTTCGCCTCGTCCCAGACCTCCAGCAGATCCTTGTCATACTGCACGACTACCTGCGGTCGCAATATGCCGTTTAGCGGTTAGCGATTTAGTGGGTTAAGTAAATGGCCCAACTGCCAGGGCCCCCGAGCAGGTGAATGCCCAGCACGTTGGGACGTGGGAAAGCGTTCAACGCTTAGCGATCGCTGATCGGTGATCGGTTATGCATTTCAGCTCAATGATCAATGCTCCCATGGGCTTGCTTTGGCATATGATCATACGCTATCTGTGTGATCATTCACTTTTGGGCTCCATGGGAATATTCATTAAGGAGCTCTGTTTGCTGATCGCCGATCACAATTAAAGATCCCCTTTTTGCGCTGTCAGTATGATTCCATACTCTCGCAATTAATAATGAAACTAGTGATCAGTTTATTATTATATTATTATTATTATATTATTATTATTATATTATTATTATTATATTATTATTATTATATTATTATTATATTATTCTGATCGCTGACCTCCGGCTCTAAAGATCATTGAAGGAAGAAAGAGTGATCTGTGGGCAGAGTGATCATATATTAGGATCACGCATTCCATTGATTACTCTTCCCTAAATATTTGGCATTGCCCTGTGATCTATCTGCTTGGATCAATTCTGATCATCCGTTCCACACTGCTTTTGCATGCCCATGCCCCAACTAGCGACATTCAGTTTGAGGCGACGTTCCACTTACCGTATTCTCATAGAACTGGCCGTTGAGATCCGGTTTGGTGCCGCAGCGCGAGTACGAGATGCGAAACGAGAAGAACGTCTTGCCCGTCGACGGTGGCACATACACACAGCGTGGATCACTGTGTTGTCCTGTTCGAAATAGATAAGATGCGATCGGATCAAAGCTGAATTTGTGTAGAGCTTGGCTTACGCACCTTTGGAGCTGACAATGCCTTCGAAGGGATTCGAGAATGTCAAATGGACGTCCATGTGATCCTTACCGCACATGACCTCCAGTGAAACTATGTTTGGCATACCATCTGGCCGATCCATGGGCCACAGTTCATTACCAGCTATGACTAAACTAAACTGTAAACAACAGAATAAAGCAATAAAGTAAGATTAATCTTTGACATCTAATTGTTATGTTAAAAACTTATCAAAAGCTGTTTATCTATAGCCACAGGCCATGTTGATTTAAGCTCTGGCAGAATCTTGAGCAAATTGGAATTTGAAATGCATGTTAAAGTGCATGTTAAAATTTTGTAATCAAATATGCTTTCAGCTTAAGTTTAGTTTGCTCGGTTTCTATGTGTTATAAGTATACTGTAAAATATCTAAACATGTTTCTAGGTTCAAGGAGTTGTTTAATGGAATATTAAGTCACTGCAAGTAACATCATAGCCGATATCAATTTATACACTTAAAGAAACAACTTTGGCTTTTATTTTATTAGTTTCTAGGCTCTAGGTTTCTAGCTTAAAGTTTAAAGTCTAAAGCGAACTCACATAGATTTCCTCGGACCATGTTGAACCAATCTCTAAAGCGACTTATAAAATGAGGGCTTAGCCGTCTTATCAGGCACATTTACACTACCACAGAGTAAAGCCTCAGATTGATAGAAGCTGAAGGCTTTAGCCACTTCACACAGCATCTCTCAAATCAATTAAACAAAGTCTTTAAGCTTCAGATCAAGCTTTCAAAATCTTTAATCAAAAAGTTTTCAAATGCGATGTTCAGCTGAGGGCCCAGTTGTGATGGAGAGTGAGATACTTAAGTTATTTGCTAACTGGTTTCGCTTTGCTACACAGTTAGCCAAGTGTGAGAATTGTTATCATAGCCTTTAAATAGCTTTGCAACAGTTCGCGGCGTGTTAATTGACTTTTCTGGATGTAATTTATTATTATTATTATTCTTTTTTTTTATTTTTTTTTTTTTTAGAAATTTTCTGTGTTCGTGCATTCGTAGATCTTAACTGATGAGACAGACAACCAGATATGTAGACCGTTATAATTTCTAATTAACGCGATTCCCACTGGCAAAACTTGACACCTGTTGCTGCTGCCACCTGCCTGCAACAGGTAACTTGCAGCTTGCAGCTAGCAACTTGCAACTGGAACTGGAATGGTTTTGGCATGGCATTTGCTGTTGAGTCGGCGCAAGTTGGCTTTGGCATAGATGTCGAGTTGCCAGCGCTGCCAGCGTTGCCAGTGAGTGCTCGAGGGCGTTAACCCGCCCCCCTTTGGTCGGAGTTCGGCACATCGACGGCCTTGCAAATCAATCGATTTATTGTTATTCATATTCGATCCATATGGCATATATTTATGTTTAATTACATCCCGCCAAACATGTTGCCAATAAAAACGAAATGCTGCAAGCCAAGTTTCCGCTTCACATTGAGAAAGCAAATTCCAGCAGCTGCCTCGTCTCTAGTCTCTGCCAACATTTGCATACTTGCCCCAAGAGCCTGCCAGCCTGCCAGCCTGCCACACGAAAGCAGAGCTCCTAGACGTGGTCTTAGCTTGGCTTGGCTTGGCTTTAATTGAACGGCAAATGGAATTTCTAGCTGCACTTGCAGTAAAAGTTGATCCCCACACACAACAACAACAACACGCCACGCCTACTCTTGCAGGCGGCCTGACTGACAGCTGTGCTTGGCCAACGACGGTGCCAAATTGTCTGCAGCGCAGCTACACTGCACAACACGATTTGTGTTTGCATTTACACTGGCCTACAGCAGCCACCAACAGCTAGAAGAAGAATCCTTGACTCTGTGCTCGAAATACATTTGAAAACATTCCCTAAAATATTCCATAAAAAATGTGTGATTGTTCTTCTATATAAACATATATAATTTCATAAAGTTTGTATTTTTATAAATAATTTCTTAATTTGAAAAGTTTTCAACACAGATTTTGAGTGGTTAACTATGGATATACCCTGTAATAGCTGAAGTATTTTATGCTACGGTAGACTTGAGTAGAGAGAGAGAGAGAGAGAGAGAGAGAGAGAGAGAGAGAGAGAGAGAGAGAGAGAGATAGAGGAGAGGAGAGAGAGAGAGAGAGAGAGAGAGAGAGAGAAGCGAGAGAGAAAGAGCGAGAGAGAAAGAGATAGAGCAGATATACTCTCTCGATAGACTCGATCTACGACGTAACGCCCTGCTCTTCTTTGTTTTCGCCTTCGCCCTCTCGTTGTCTGCTCTCTCTCTCTCTCGATGCCAGCTACATACTCTCCCACTACTAGAGCAACGATAACGGAGAGAGACAAATCAAGAGAAAGGGACAGAAAGAAGGAAAGCAGGAAACGGATAATTTACCGATATATGTATGTATATAAACATAAACATGTCTATCAAAGCTAATATACCCCATGTCAACAATTTCCTATCAACAAACATTTCGCATAAAAAACAAGATACTAATAGTGTTACGCCTTCGTTGTGGGTGCGTGCGTGTGTGTGTGTGTGTGTGTGTGTGTGTGTGTGTGTGTGTGTGTGTGTGTGTGTGTGTGTGTGTGTGTGTGTGTCAGCGTGCGCTGTATTCAAATGTTGATTAAGTTAATTTCATTTTAATTATATTTTCTTGCAATGCGCAATAAATGATAAAACAGAGTTTTAGTTTCCGAGGCAAACAAATTCGCAAGATAAATAAGCTCGAATTAAAATAATGTGTGGTCGGGTGTTAGCGACTACGTGATACACGCTGTTGTGCTATCAAGCAAATGTGTGCAGAGTTATCGATACGTTTATCGATCATTTAGTAAGATTTGTGTGTTTCATAAGAAGTACTTCAAATAAAATATCGTATACCAATATGCTCAGCTGACATTTGTGAGCGAGTATGCACACAATATTTATGAATATGTAAATTATATATAATTGATGACACGAAAACACTGAAGCAATGAAAGCCGCCAATTTGGGGCCCCAACATGGGTATGATGTGTGTGCTTAAGTGTATATATAGACTTGACTCTAGTCTAATGGTTTCGCATATTTAACAGCTTGTTACGGCATTATCTTGTTGCAGAGATAAGGCAAACGATATATATATCTTGCTCAAATGTAAATTACAGAAAGATAAAACAAAATACGATCTATATTTGCTTTTGATATCAATCTATATAAATAAATAAAACTTTTCATTTCAATCATAGATAATTATATATATAATTATATATATATATATAATTGTACGTCCACAGCTCAGCTTTCATATCTCTTCTCTATCTATGTCAAGCAGAACATCGCAAATTTCCATTTGATTTCAATGATGATCAATCATCATTAAATCGTAGAGATTGAGAGAGAGAGAGAGAGAGAGAGAGAGGGACAGAGATAGCGAGAGGGAGGTCATATTTTCTGACTCGGCGTCTCTCCCACTCTCTCGCCCGCTCTCGGCCTCTTTCTCAACTTAATGAAATGAATGAACAAACAGCGCTTCAAGGTCACAAAATACAAAATGTAAGCATGACGCGACTTTTTATACCAAGCATGAAATGAGTAAACATAATACATTACATCGAGAGGCACGCAGCAGGCTGGCCACAGTTTTCAGAAGTGAGACTGCTGGAGATTTTGGAGATCACTCAAAGCATTGACAATGGATCGTTGGTCGAATCGTGTGGCCGTCGTAACTGGCGCCAGCTCGGGTATTGGAGCTGCCACTGCCAAAAACCTGGTGGCCAAGGGCATGATCGTCGTGGGTTTGGCACGGCGCGAGAATCGCCTGCAGGAGCTGAAGGCACAGCTGCCAGCAGATCAGGCCAAGCGCTTCTACTATCGCGTCTGCGACGTGACCGTGGAGCAGCAAGTGATTGAGGCGTTTGCCTGAGTCGATAAGGAACTGGGCGGCGCCGATGTGCTGGTTAACAACGCGGGCATTGTCCGTAGTGACACGTTCCTGGTGGACCAAGGCAACAGCGAAGAAATACGATCCATTCTCGACACCAACGTATTGGGCGTGACCTGGTGCACACGGGAAGCTTTCCAATGAACAGCGTTACGGGACACCGGGTGCCCATGATTCCTGCGCCAAGAGTTTCTCACCAAAGGCACCAAGACAAAGATCACGGTGAGTTACAATTGAAGTGTTCTAGAGACCTGTCGACTGCTAACCTTGTTCTGTAGAGCATCAGTCCCGGCATTGTGAACACGGAAATCATTGACAGAAGCAATCTGCGTGACCTTGCTGACCTCGCAATGCTGCGCGCCGAGGATGTGGCAGACGCGATCTCCTACTGCATTCAGACACCTCCCAATGTCCAGATACACGAACTAATGATCAAGCCCGTTGGCGAGATATTCTAAAGCCCATCAATTGCCAGCTGCCATAGATACTATATCTGACCAGGTTGAACTATATTTATTTCTTCTTTTTTTGTCAATTACAATAAAATCATTTATTTCTTGATACAACTCGAAAACTATTTTCTTGAGTTATGTAATATTAGGTATACCCCATATGCATAGACATATAGGGTAAACAAGTATATCAACAAATACACAATTGAAACAAATGTTTATCTGTCTATGCAAATCTAATCTATTCTATACTATCTCTCTCTCTCTCTCTGTCTCTCTTTCGTGCACTCTATTTCTATAACTGTCTTTACACCTCTCTCTTTCACTCTAATTCTCTTACTCTCTCTCCTGCTCTCCTTCTATCGCTCTCTTTCTCTCGCTCACTGTCTCTCTCTCTCGATCTCTCGATGGCTCACCCTCTGATCTTTCTCTCGCTCTCTTTCTCTCACTCTTATGAAATGAATGAACAAAGAACAAAGGCTGGATAGCGCTTAATAGAATATAATAAAAGATATATATATATATGTATATATATATATATATATATATATATATATGTATCTGATATATATTGTGATGAGAGGCGCACAGCCAACTGTCCACAGTCTATAAAAACGAGACGGCTGGAGACTTTGGGGCTCAGTCAAAGCATTGAAAGCTCAGCGACGTAACGTATTAAATAATTGCGATATCAAAATGGATCGTTGGTCGAATCGTGTAGCCGTCGTAACTGGCGCCAGCTCGGGTATTGGAGCTGCCAGTGCCAAGGACTTGGTGGCCAAAGGCATGATCGTCGTGGCACTGGCACGGCGTGAGAATCGCCTGCAGGAGCTGAAGGCACAGCTGCCACCAGACCAGGCCAAGCGCTTCTACTATCGCGTCTGCGATGTGGCCGTGGAGCAGCAAGTGATCGACACGTTTGCCTGGATCGATAAGGAACTGGGCGGCGCCGATGTGCTGGTTAACAACGCGGGCATTGTCCGTAGTGACACGTTCCTGGTGGACCAAGGCAACAGCGAAGCAATGCGCGCGATCCTCGACACCAACGTATTGGGCGTGACCTGGTGCACACGTGAAGCTTTCCAATCGCTGCAGCGCCGCAAGATCGACGACGGACACATTGTGATTGTGAACAGCGTTGCGGGACATCGGGTGCCCATTATGCCGAACTTCAGCTTCAACATGTATGGACCATCGAAGTTTGCAGTTACCGCCTTGACCGAGGTCCTGCGCCAAGAGTTCCTCACCAAAGGCACCAAGACAAAGATCACGGTGAGTGACAATTGAAGTGCCGTAGAGATCTGTCGATCGTTAACATTGTTTCGTTCTCTTTCATGTATAGAGCATCAGTCCCGGAGTTGTTGACACTGAAATCATTGACAGGAGCAAGCTACAAGACTTTGGTGTACTCGCCATGCTGCGCTCCGAGGATGTGGCCGATGCGATCTCCTACTGCATTCAGACACCTCCCAATGTCCAGATACACGAACTCACGATCAAACCCGTTGGCGAGACATTTTAAGGCCTATTTGTTTTTATTTTTAATCTTTTTTTTGTAATTTAAAATAAAATCTCTTATTTCTTGAAACAACTCGAAAACTATTGCATTGATTGTTGTTTAGTGTGCCTTTAGTCGATCTTGAGTCAGTTAATATTATTAATAATAATATAGGGTAAACTAGTATATCAACAAATATAAAATGAAAACAAACGTTTATCTGTCTATTCTGTGCCAATCTATTATAATTTCTCTCTTTCTTTTTTTGACTCACTCTTCTACTCTTTTTCTATAGCTGTCTCTACACATCTCTCTAACACTTTAAAATTCTCTCTCTTGCTTAGTCTCTTTTTCCTTCTCTATCTTTTCTGTTGCACTTGCTCTCTCTCACCCTTTCACTCTCTCCATTTCTCCCAGTCACTCTCTCTCCGCTTCTCTTAACTTTATGGAATGAATCAATAAAGAGCGCTTTAAGGTGCCCAAATGCCAGCTGGATAGCGCTTAATAGAATATCAGCATGACACGACACTTTCGTAACGCCAAACATATCGTATGTATATGTATGTCCAATGTATCATGAGGAGAGACACGCAGCCAGCTGTGCACAGTCTATAAAAACGAGACGGCTGGAGACTTTGGGGCTCAGTCAAAGCATTGAAAGCTCAGCGACGTAACGTACTAAATATTTGCGATATCAAAATGGATCGTTGGTCGAATCGTGTAGCCGTCGTAACTGGCGCCAGCTCGGGTATTGGAGCTGCCAGTGCCAAGGACTTGGTGGCCAAAGGCATGATCGTCGTGGCACTGGCACGGCGTGAGAATCGCCTGCAGGAGCTGAAGGCACAGCTGCCAGCAGATCAGGCCAAGCGCTTCTACTATCGCGTCTGCGATGTGGCCGTGGAGCAGCAAGTGATCGACACGTTTGCCTGGATCGATAAGGAACTGGGCGGCGCCGATGTGCTGGTTAACAACGCGGGCATTGTCCGTAGTAATACGTTCCTGGTGGACCAAGGCAACAGCGAAGCAATGCGCGCGATCCTCGACACCAACGTATTGGGCGTGACCTGGTGCACACGTGAAGCTTTCCAATCGCTGCAGCGCCGCAAGATCGACGACGGACACATTTTGATTGTGAACAGCATTACGGGCCATCATGTGCCTGTTATGCAGCATATCAGTTTGAACATGTATCCGGCATCGAAGTTTGCGGTCACCGCCTTGACCGAGGTCCTGCGCCAAGAGTTCCTCACCAAAGGCACCAAGACAAAGATCACGGTGAGTTACAATTGAAGTGTCCTGGAGACCTGTCGATTGCTAACATTGTGTTGTTTCCTGTCATCTATAGAGCATCAGTCCCGGCGCTGTGGACACTGAAATCCTCAACCAGAGCAAACTGCCGAACATTGGTAGCTTCCCTATGCTGCGCTCCGAGGATGTGGCCGATGCGATCTCCTACTGCATTCAGACACCTCCCAATGTCCAGATACACGAACTAACGATCAAGCCTGTTGGCGAGATATTCTAAAGCCCATCAATTGCCAGCTGCCTTTAGATACTGACCAAGTTGAATTATATTTATTTCCCTCTTTTTTTTTCATTCATAATAAAATTTTTTACTTGCTAAATCAAATCGAAAACTTTTGCACTGATTATTATTTGTTAAGATTAAAGCTTAACTTGAGTTCGCCAAGGTCAGATATACCCCATGTGGGTGTACTATCTACAAATACTGAATGGAACTACGATTTCTCCGTGACTTTTATTCTCCCTGTCTCTCTCTCTCCCTTGCGTAGCTCACTCTTCCCCTCTTTGCATCTCTTTTTCTCTCTCATACTGGTCTCTCTCTCTCTCTCTCTCTCTCTCTCTCTCTATCTTTCTGGCTTATTATCATTTCATATAAGCAATACACAGTTCCATCATATTGTAATACTTCTAAAAGCAGCGTAGATAGATTCTAGCAAACTCAATGACCATATATGACTAGACACTTGTTGGGAAATTGATAGAACAATCTACATCAGGTATGACATTTGATTTGTTGTATTTGTTTGCAATGACATAAGCTCTGCCTATACTATCTTGACCAATTTATCTATAGCAAATAGTAGTTCAGAGTATAATCGCTTAATGAAAATTTATGTAACAGGCAGAAGGGAGCAGGGCAGACTCCATTAAGTATATATATTCTTGATTAGAACGACAAGTTCAATCGATCTGCCCGTATGATCTTAAATATATTGAATTATTAAAGTAGTAACTCAGGTTTCAGGGTATCTTTTAGGCGAGCACTCCCGACTAGAGCGCTCTAACTTGATATAAAATAAATTTAAAAACCAAGCTTATGTTTATGCTCTCTGGCTAAGATCTTTATAGAACATTTAAAATATGTGCCAAAGTTAAAGAAAATTTATTTTGGCTTCATAAGCGACTAATTACTATATAGGAATATATACTCAAGTAAACATATATTTATTTATGTAGACAAATGCCAAAAATAATCGGTAAAAATGAGACTCATAATGAGAATCATAAATAACTCACAAAAACAGTAATAAATCCATTCAGAAGTAACTTTAAAGCAGTTTTTATTTCCAGAGAACTCTGCCCTCAAGTATGCTTCGAACATGACGAAATTTGCCTACAAAACCTGAATTTTTATGATTATCAACAATTTGATGTATGTATAAGGGAGTGAGGGAGGGAAAGGCACTGAGATCGTTTAGATAATAGCCAACACCGCTCTCGCTCTCGCTCTCGATATCAGCCTGACTGATGAGAATCTTATCATATATTATATTCTTAATACTCGAGCATTGCGTGTATGATAATGAGCACGATTAAATAGCCAAAGTTTGTGTTCCAGCCTAACAGCGGTGCGAATCACTTTGGCCCACAAAGCGAAGAGCAGAAAAGCTTCAAGTTCAGTTAAAGCGTTAAAAGCTCAACAGCTGAATATGGAAATTTTTTGGTGATCTGATTGAGCTCTTGTCGAAAAGTGATGGATGTCAGCTCTCTCTCTCTATATATATACATACATATATATATATATATATATCTCTCTCTCTCTTTTAGTATATTCCTGTATCCAAATATTCCTTTATTTATAGTAGATCTATATGTAATATATATAATCTGCTTAAACATTAACTATATATTTATTTAGTTATTTTATTCTTTAATATAACTCGACTCGACTTACCATTAAATGTAAAATAAATATACAGCTACACAGTCTAAGGTCCCACAGCCGTGTAGGACCTTTTTGTGGGCTCCACATACTGGCGATGTGGGCGCTGCGGCTATATCTGCAAAGAGGAAGAAGAATAAAAAGAAGACATAAATATATATTTAAGCCAGCGGCATATATATCAAAATGTCATTGGAGTGGACCATGACAAGTGTCAGTGTGGCACGTGTGGCAGCTGTGCACAGTGGTGCAACAGGATTGTAAATGCAGTGAAATTGATTTGCATTAAGAATTTAGTAAATAAATTATTAAAAGAAATTTTAATAGATAGATATAATAATATGTTCATAAAAATAGTAGTGCGACTGACCAATTTATTTTAAAAACAATTTGATATATATGAAACTGTTTTTTTACAGTTGCAAAATACATAAAATTGCAGTTGATGTTATCTTTATTAACATTTGCTAGCTGCTGTGCAATGTTATCGCAGCTGAAATGAAACTGACCCACTTCAAGGCAATAAACAAACCCCGAGTCGAATGCTATTCGTAGGTTAATAGGCATTTAAGCATCAATGAATTTGATATGGGTGGGTATACACATATAGATAGTACATACAGGTACAGGTATACCGGTCACCAGTACAGATTGACCTTTGTTATCTCACCTGAATAGAGGAGATATTTGAGCACTTAACACATATATCAACTAAAGGCTATATGTAATCATAATCATGTCTCTCTCTTTCTTTCTTTCGTTATCTATGTTAAGTAGTCTTAAGCTAATCATAGCCAGCATTGACCAAGTGAGCTTAATATGATACGTCTCTATGATTATGATATATGATTTGCAGCTTAAAGAAGTTTGGTTTTCTTTCTTTGCACTTTGCTTCACTGTGCACGGCGCTTGCAACTGCCACTTAGCTGTCGGCGAGAGCTGGCGTGAGTGGGTGGCATAGCGAATGCGGCTAATGAAAAGAAATTGCCCAATTGCAAAAATCTCGCTGGGAGAGCTTGACGAATGCGAACGCGAATCCAAATGCCAAGTGCGAAATGCATTTCGCCTGTCTCTCACGCTTGGTCCAATTCTTCGTTGGTGACCCACAAAAGAACCAAATTATTGTGCAAGCGGCGAAAATTAGTTGAGCTTTGCAGCTGCTGCTTTTGTGTATTTATCGATAGACGATAGATTGCAAAAAATAAGGTTTATCGTTAATACGTGTAACATAGAAAGGCAAGTTGTATGGAGAGTTTACTATAGACTATAATTAGTTTGCAGGTTGTGATGTACAGCTATCGAGTATAATCGATAACTATCGATACGTATGCTTAAATACAAATAAATTCGATTTGAATTAAGTTTTTCTCAATTAAAAAACGAATACAAAAAAATCGTATAGCTATCGACAGCTATCAATAGTTATCGAAGTTACTTAAACTTATTATTGAGCTTCATACTGTAGCTTAGCATGTAACATTGAACATTTAAAGTAAGTTATTGAGAGTTATCGATAAATTGAGAGTTATCGATAAATATCCAAGCGTTCTTCAGAACTACGCCTCATAAGCTATCGATAACTATCGGATAAATGAGAAGAACATGTTACAGCTTTAAGCAGAATCAAGCCTCAATATTACTTTATAAACTTAACGCGTTCCTCAGCTGAAGAACAACAAAGTTTTCCCATCCACACAGCTCGATTCAGGTAACGATCACATTTAACCCGAGCAGCCACAAACCATAATTGAAATTAAGTAAACGACAAGGTGGCAGAGGCCAGAGACCACAGCCCCATGCCCGCTTACAAAAAAAAAAATCTGCGCTGCAGATTGTGTTAACGCCCCAACAGCCAAACCAATTTGGTTTATGATATTGAGAGACTATAATTTAAGCCAACTCAAAGTTGAAATGAAAAAAAAAAACATATTTATATAATTTAACATGAAACACATCAAATTTATATATATATATATATATATAGAGTCTTTAACTATTTGTTTTACTGACCAAGTTCGATAGATAGATAGACATAGATGCTTCACTTCAGATAACTGCGCTTCCTTGCCTTTAACTTACATAGATATAATTAAGAATGTTGGGTAAATGCTCGTCGTGCATTGCCCATCTAAACTCTCTAGCTTAAGAGATTAAATCAATGTGAAATGCAAGTCTGTCGTCGTCTTGGGACTAACAAACTCTACGCATTCCTAGCGCATGACTACAGCGAAGTAAAAAAAAAACTTATTCAAATAAAAATTTGACAATTTCACAAAGAAATTTTTAGTGTTCTCAAAGTAATTTTTATTGAGTCAAAAGCAGCTTTTCGCACTTTCACTAAGACTTTGTTGAACGACAATTCGCCGACTTGGGCACATATGAATCTGAATCATGCTGACAATCAGTCACTCAAGCAGTCAATCAATCAGTCAATCAAATGAGTCAAATGGACCAGCCCACAATGATAATAAAAGCAAAGCAAAGCAGACGACGGAGGAGAAGAAGCCGTTCGTTTTTCTCTTTTATGATTGCCTGGCTATTTGCGCACTTTTACCGCCAAAGGGGGGGCGTCGCAGCTAAGCGAACAACAGGTGAAAATGAAATCGAAATTGTGTTGAGCTGCTTTCAATCGATTTGTGAGTTAAAGCCTGAACAAAAGGCGGACACGCACACACACAGCTGCTGTATGCATGCCAAAGATACAATGAGACACAAAGATACAAAATGCAGATACAGATACAGATACACATACTGATACAGGTACAGATACAGATACAGTTGGCTACTTCCACTGGCCGCTTGAATTCAAGCGCAAAAATGCGGTCAGAATCGCGCGCAGAACTGTAAATTGTAAAAAGCAGAAGAAGAAGAAGAAGACGACTATAAAAAGCCAGCAACAAATGAATCAATAGAAATGCGATTCAACAACGGTAAATTGTCTGCTTATAAACTCTAAGCATCTGCTTGGCTTTTTTTTTGTTGAGTCTTACTTTATTATATTCTCTTCTTCTTTTCCTCTTCTTGTTTTTTTTTGTCTTTAATTTGCGCCCAATTAATTTCTCTTTTTTGGGCAGCGCATTTTCACTCTTTGCCTGCTTTTAACTTGGCTAATTGGCCGATGCGTCGCCGTCGGCTACCGATCAGAGCAGACGCTGCGTAGATCACATTAGCCAACTATTCTTCGCCGTCTTCTACCTCTTTGTTCTCTTGTCTAACTGTTCTTCTGTTAATCAGAAATTAAGAAATCGTCAGCTAGAAACATTTGCAGATCCACACAAAAAGATATTTCATTAGAAACCCATCTAACTTCCTGCTTCGAACAGATAACTCTATCTTAGCGTTATAAAGCCATTAACAATTATACTAAATACCACTTTCAATGCCAACTACACAAGATCTGCTGGCAAATCAGTTAACGTATTCCAAGAAGCTATTGAGATCGTGAATATCTTTTCATTACTCTAGATATGATATGAAACAGTTTTAATGATGATCAAGCAGGAAGCTTAGATGGCAATTTGATGTGAATCTATGTATATAGATTATCAACTTTTCCTAATTATGAAATCTCACTTTAGGCATATAGAAAATGTATCTATATCTATATCTATATCTATATCTATATCTATATCTATATCTATATCTGTACCTATATCTATATCTATATCTATATCTATATCTATATCTATATCTATATCTATATCTATATCTATATCTATATCTATATCTATATCTATATCTATATCTATATCTATATCTATATCTATATCTATATCTATATCTATATCTATATCTATATCTATATCTATATCTATATCTATATCTATATCTATATCTATATCTATATCTATATCTATATCTATATCTATATCTATATCTATGCTATTGCTATGATTTAAGGTGAGTTTGATCAGGTCTCAAGAACTCTTTGGGCTGCTTGTGCCACACAGCGTTGCAGACGCCGTTGAGTCTAACTGTTTTGCATGTGGCAGCTGCCTCACTTTAATGCACCCACACTAACACGACATTGCCCCCCTTTTCCCTTTCCCCAATCAACCGCTATGGCGCCCAATTAAGTGCGCCTGGCTTGGTCTTGGGGTGCATTTGAGCCAAGAGTTGGCTAGCCTAAATATGTAAGCCAAAGAAAGTGGCAGCCAGCGTGTAGCAAGCAGGCGGACGGGCGGGCAGCATGTTGCACGCTCCGCTAACGCTTAATTAATGTTAATGCTGGCTGCCACAGTTGCTGCCACACAGCCAGTTCCAATTAACAGCGCCGTATTTCCACTCGACGCGGCCAGTTGCCAGTTGCCAGTTGCCAGGGGCGGCTAGAGTGGCAGGTGGGCGTGGCATATGCCAAATAATAATGCATTTACGTATTGAAACGATGCAGAATGAAACGAAATCAAATTAAAATCAAATGAAATGAAATTAAATGAAATGAAATGGAAAATCCAATTGTCGCCCAGTTTTCACTTTTCTTTCACGCAACTCGCTTAGCGGTTCATTTTGGTTTTTCTCATTTTGAGCCAGCTATCAAAAGCGGGCGGCGTTTTCGGAAAAGACCACTTTCCAATCGAAGCGGAATTTTCACACACAACAGCACACAGATGGCTAGTATTTAACGGTAAATCACCGAACAAAAACGCAGTTAGTCGTAAATTTTTATGAAACTTTTTTTCTTCATTGACTTTTCTATCTCTTTCAGTCACTATCACTATCTCTCTCTCTCTCTCTCTCTCTCTCTCTCTTGCGGTTTTTTCCTTTCAGAAAATATTTGTGTGCACAATGAAAATCGCTGAACAATTGATGTTAATTATAAACCCGATTTGTATATTTATATATATATATATATAAATATATATATATTTATATTTTATGTATATATATATTTATAAGATATATTTATACGAAAATGGTTCACTTTCTTTTGCACCTGATTTTAATTAAACTGGTTTCTAGCGCCCGAACTGGTCTAGTTGGCAATTGTTAATGGGCATCGCTGGCCTCTGGGCGCTGCATGCACAGCCATGGCCAAATTAATAGGCACACTTATAACAAAAAAAAAAGAACTACAAGAAATAATGCAGTTCAACTTTAAGTCACATATATATTTATATATATATATTCATATTTAAAAATTTGTATATATTTAGCTAAGTCTGCACTAATAGATATAGATAATCTTGATATAAATCTGACTCGATGATCATATAAAAATTATACAAAATATGCTAAGTATACAGAATGAAAAATATTTTATCTACAACTATATAAATATAGATATATAACAGTTAACATATAGATAAGAACTAAGATATAGATATAGATATACATATATATTGTGTAGATCTATGCCCTTTTATAGAATATATATATATATATATATATATATATATTCTCCATTAATCTTTAGCCTTGATCCCTTCACAAACAGCTTAGTGATATCGAGGTAATATATATATATATATATAACTATATACTAAGCAATGTCTGTTAACTGGATTGTTGTATAATAGCTGTATACTAGTTTTAATGGCTCTATAGTAGCTGTTCCTTTTTTGGGCAATTTAAAACTTGAATTCAGCAAAAATGTCAATTGTCTGGAAACTTTTACAAATATTGCTTAAAGCCTTTGGCTTTTTTTGATAAACCCAATATTATAATATAGCTAAAATTGCATACATATAAAATTAAGTTGGGGTAATTTCTTAAAGCACTTTAAGCGACTGCAATGCAATTGGCGTTGGAGTTGAAGTTGGAATTGGAGTTGGGCAAGTGCCAAGATTTTGGATGCGCAGCTGTGCTTGCCACAAGATGCAAATTGCTTGGCCAGGCAGAGGGAGAGATAAGAGAGGCGAGAGCCGAGCGAAGTTTTCTCTCGTGAGCTTTGCCGTTGTCATTTCTAATGTTTGGCTGCGCTGCGCTGCGCTGTTCTAAGGAACGACAACGTGTCAAATGTCCCAGCTACAACAGCACGCAGAAGAAGTAGAGGCTGTCGAAGAGGGGTAAGAGGCGTTAGCAAATAGTTGGCACAAGTTTGCTTTTGGGTATTGCAGCTGGCAAAGCCCTTTTGTTTTGCTTCCGACTCGCAGCTCGAATGCCCCAGCTGCTCTTTATCAGTGCTTGCCACATGCCACCGCATGGAAAGTGACTCATTTGATGACAATATGCAAACGAGTCGAAGACTTCACTCGAATTCACTGACTTTTCCACTGCTTAAATTTGAAATTCTATTCAAGAGCGGGGGAGACGAAGCTACATATCATTGACTCACGCTTCGTGTGCTCTTCACCTGTGCATTATATCAGTTTTAGCTACAGTTGAACAGCTAGTGTCAAGTTTGTCTTGTAGTTAGCTAAAGCTGCTTGCGCTCTGAATTAAGTTTGCCTCTGGTTACTGTAATAACAGTGTTTAAAGGGTACAGCTTTCGGGTTCACGTCAAAATTTGACATGTAGTTAACTTATGAGTCATCAGCTCTGTTGGCAAACTGAATCGATTGCTACTTTAGATAGGATCAACAAATATTAAAACCGACCTACTAGTCTATATCTTGTACAGCTTTGAAGTTCATGTCAAATATTTGACAAGCAGATTTAATGCTAAAAACTATGCTATATACATTATTTAAATTGTTAATATAAAAAGAGCTCAATTGTCATAGTTTAATAGTAAAAGCTAAACAAAGAGCTGAAAGCTGAAAATATTCCTCCTTTCTTGCAGTATATATTCGGTATAAAATACCGAAAAAATACCAAAACGCTTAGTTAAAAGCATTTGCAATTGACAAGCAAACAAAACAAAAATACAATAACAAAATAGTTAAGTATTTAAATATGCCAAGTGCTTCTTCTTCTCCCATTTACAGTTGGGGCTGGGAGTTTCTATTCGATTGAAATGGGTATATTCATTTGTGAGCTTAATGTGCGCATGTTCTTTCAACTTGAGCTTCAAATTGAGCTTCGTCTTCACTCTCCCTTTTCATTCATTTGGGCTTATCGAGATGCAAACTGATTTCCATTTCATTCATTCGTTCATTCATCATTCAAATGAGCGGCATGAGAGGAAATGTTGCAGCATGTAGAAAGGCAAAGAACAGTTAGACGCCAGAAACACGAAAAAGTCAGAAGAAGAAGCAGATGAAGATATCGAGAAATTGTTAAAAAAAAAGCAGAGGGGAAAAAACTTGTTAAGCTGCAAATTAACATTTTATGAGCCAGGGCCCAATCGCGTGTTAGCCAAGCTGTAAATGTAGCTGTAGCTGTAGCTGTAGCTGTAGCTGTGCTGTGCTGTAAATATATCTAAAGCTGCGCAGAGTTCTTGTGCCGAATGAAAGAGTAGCTGGCCAAAATCCAATTGACTTGCCCAACAGCTCATAAATTATGCGTTATCAAAGAGCTGGCCGAAAGCGGGTAGGTGGAGGGGAGGGGACATGTTCATGTAGTTCATGTGTCCAACTGAGCTGAGCGCAACGAACAAATGTGAATTGAATTGAAATGCCAATCAAGCAGCCATATGTAAAGAGATCTATGGCGCCACCAAAAAGATACCAAAAAGAAAAAAATAAAAAACAAAAAACTAGTGATGAAAGTTAAGTTAAGACTTCCATATTGCAATTAAGAGTCTTGACTGATTCCAACTGACTTCCTTCAGCTCTCTAGCTCTAACGAGCTTAGAGCTTAAGCTGCGCTCAATCAATACTCAATCAATCAATCATTTGCTTATGAGAAGTATTAAGTACAATTTCCTAACTGAATAAAGTGCCATGGATATATATACATATATATAGAAAATAGTCTCCATAGATCTGCACATATATCAAATTGAATCTTTAGGGCTTTCTGATACGCCCCAGAGATATTATCCTCTGAAAGAGAGAGAAAAGAACAGCAAACACTCATACATCAAAGAGTTGTTCGAGTGACATGAACGATGCGATGCAGTGCGATGCGACGTCTGCTTAGGGTGTTGCAAAGCTTAAAAACCAAATGATTTGAGGCCAAGAAAGAAATACACAGACAGAAAGAGAGAGAGAGAGAGGGAGAGATACAGGTGTAGCTGAGCTACGTTTGCCAACTTGCAACAGATGCGACAACAACAACAACAACAACTTGGCAAATGGCAAAGCTGTTGCATTGCATTTATGGCCAAGTCGCGTGTTTCTTGCCTGTCTCTCTTAATGTTGTATTGCTCTCTGTGTGTGTGTGTGTGTCTGTGTGTTTGCGGAATTGAGTTTATTGTGCCACCGCGCGGTGTTCTTTGGTTTGTCGCATCAGCTTGATTAGAATTCGAAGTAGTTAACGGTGCATTTAATGCGCTCCAAGACGGATCAAATGCATTTAACACCGATCTTTTCGCTTAGTGTATGCTTAAGTGTGTGTGTGTGTGTGTGTATATTGTTTGCTAAGCGATTCGATTCGATTTGATTTGACTTGACTTGACTTGACTTGATTGATATGTGAACTCATTAGACTCGCATTAAAACCTAATTATAGGCCATACACTTAGAGAAAAAACTACATATCTTTTAGCTACCATTTTATATATATTTATAAGCAATACTAGATTTTGTAAATATATATTTTCTAATATTATTCAAATATATAGTACATTTCCAACAAGAAAATATATTATTATATTCTAAAAGTCGTGATTTAAATCTCGCAAGGAATAACAACTAGTTGTAAAAATATGCTGAAGGGCGCACAACTTTTTAAGCGAAGCTCGTGTGTATAATTGATATAACGGTTACTGTTAGCATTTTCTTGTATAAGTGTCGTTGCCAAAATTCATTAACAAGAGCTGCTAACGCTGGCATCGCTGCTAGAAGAGCCCTAATACAGTTATATGTACACATACTAATTCCCAAAGCATAGCAATTGGATCGCTCTTATACTCATATACATACTCTTATACTGTTTAGCACTTACCGTTGAAAAGCAAATGTCCTCGTTTTTAACTCTCTTGCGCGCACGTACTTGCCGCTTGCTCCTTGAAAGCTGCGCTCAATGAGAGCTTTCTGACTGATATTACTCTGAATGTGTGTGTGCGTGTGGGTATGAGTGAGTGTGTGTGTGTCGCACTAAATTCTTAAGCGAGTGTATAAAATGTACCCAAAAAAAATGAAAAAGAAGACGAAATAAAAGTAAATCAAATAAATAACGATACAAAAAAAAGCTGCTGTTATAGTCGTAGTAGTAGTAGAAGAACATGCAAGTACGCTGAAGAAGAAGAAGCTGAAGTGAAATCGACACAGCACGTAAAACGTAAACGTAAATAGGAACCAGCCAAGCAGCCAGAGAATACAGCATACAGCATACGGCTTAACCAGCCAAGCAACTCAGGTGAAATGCGGGGTGTTTGTTGAGGGGAGGGCGGTGGCGCGGGACTGCTATATCATAAAGTGTTTTTCACATTGAAAAGTTGAAAAGTCCAATGATGATGCCAACTGATTAGTGATTAGTTGCCATTTGACACATAAGCTCGCTCACTCACTCCCCTCGCACCCTCTCTAATTCTTTTCCTCTCTCTCTCTCTTTCCTCTCTCTGTGACTTGTTGCTTGGTATGTGGATCGCAGACGGAGAGAGCAAAAGGAACAGCAACAATACAGATGCAGGTGCAGGCGCATCTGTTTGTGTATGTGTGTGTGAATGGAGAATGTGAATGGCATTGGGTAAATTGTCAATAAGTAACGAGAATATGGGAATTTTTGAGAAAGAGGCGGGGGGAGGGAACACGATGACAAGCCACTTTTTGTGGGTCGTTTTGATATGTGTGCGTAATGATTTTTATAATATTTGTGGAAACTGTGAAAAACTATGATTCCGGTCGTTTTTTTTTTTTGTTCGATTCTTTCGATTCTCAATTGAGCGAGCGAGAAACATACAGAGGACAGACGGATTTTGTGCTAATTGGAAAAAATTAGAAAGCATGAAATGCCGAATCCGCTTGAACCGCAACAAAAGCCTCAATTTTCTGATCCCCTTGCCTTTCCCCTTTCAACAGGCTGTGCAGCGGTATTTAATGCAACTTCTTCTTCATTTGGCTCATGTCCTATTTTGGTCTGATTGGCGTCCAATTGGCATCCTCGCACGCACACAATTCTCGTTTCTGACAACTTTTTGTTGCACAGTAAATGAAATTTAAAAAAAATAAGAAAAAAAATGTAAACACCAAAAAAAAAAGTTTTTAGTTTACGAGTTTTTTTTTTTGCTATGCAGTTGTGTTTTTTTTAGTGCTTAATTACCCACTCAGGGTTAACTTATATGTCTGGCAACAGCAACAACGGCATTGACGACAACAACAACAACAAGAACAACAACACTCACTTCACTGGTGATCTCCGCTAAGTCTCTGTGTTTTTGTGTGTGTGCGTGTATTTGAATAACGGTAATTGCGAAAAGAACAACAGCAAGATACAAAATATAAAAAAAAAAGAATTTAATACACTGGCACTGGCACTCGGCGTCTGCAGCTAGAGAGCACGAGACAAAAAACGAGACTCGTTCACGATCCGAGCGGAATTCGGATTTGGTTTCGGGGACTCAGAATCAACTGTTCGGATTCTGTGTTAGATGCGCCAAGCGAGCCAAAGACGTGTGAACTCGTCGAGCGACGAACGCGAAATACACGCGAGCCAGCCAAGATACTTTCTTTGGCCTCGTAATGTAACTGTCGGGAACAGAAGAAGAAATTCAAGACAAGACAAGACACACACACTCTCGCACACAGACAGACGAACGCTCGCGCACATAGCAAAATCTGCGGCAGAGTAGAAGCAGCCGCCTGTGACTGGCTGCGCCGGCGCTCTCAACAATATATCGTCGCGCTGACGCCGTTGCTGTCGTCGACAGCGACGCCAACTGCACAAATGAGCACAGCAGAGCAGCCGACGCGTCGCCAGCATAGAACTGCCAATCCATAGGCTCAATTAGCACTAGTTGCTCTACACACCAATATTGCTGAATCATTTGGTAATCGATCGATACAAAAGGTTACAACGGCAATTTAAGTTTTGGCAGGATCATTTTTGTGGCAGCTCAGTCGAAGTTAACGCGCACTTGAACTTGAACTTAAGGCGCACAGCGTTCTTACGAGCTAACGGCAAAGGCGGGCAGCAACAGCTAATTTGTTGTTGCTCATGGTAACAGAGTTGCCAGGTTGAAAAATAAGCGCAGCGCAGGATTTTGTCGATTTCTACTTAAATTTCTTTATACCAATCGTTTAAGAATATATATTTGGTTTAGATACTGACAAATATTTATGTCTTTTCATTTTTTGTAAGGGGCTGCTGTTAAAATCAGTGCCATTGGCAACTCTACTGTCAGCACAAGCTGTGTGCATGTGTGCGTGCTTGCGCCGCTATTGCTTTGCTTTGTGCGCATGTGTGTGTGCTTGCTGCTGCGCTGCTACTACTTTAGATGCGCTTGTGTTTGTGCTTTTCTCCGCATTTGTTGTTTGAGACAGTGCAGTCGCTGCCGCTGCCTCTGCTTCAGCCTGCAATGCTGCTGCCTCTCTTTTGCGCACAGATACACTGAGCGGCAACTGGGCGCATTTCAACGGTAAACATCATGAATGCATTTGGAAAGTGGCTCGTGGTGTTTGCATTTTGCATTTCTTCGCATTCTTTTATGTTTATGTGTGGCTGTGGCTTTTGCTTTGCCTGCGGACTGCCAGCCATCGCACAATTGTGCCAGCAACAACAACAGGCGATGCCGAAGACGGCGTTTTCATTTCTCAGAATTGATTGGCCGTCGCGTTCGCATACTACACACGCCAGCTTTTATTTCTTGCTGCATTTTTTTAAGCAGTCACAGCCGCTGCCTCTGTCGCTGCCAATGCTGTCGTCGACGTTGCCAGGCACCTGTTGTTGTTATGCTGCAGACGCTGCTGAGACGTCTGCGGGCCAGTTATTTTTCGCTCTGCGTCTGTGCTGTGCCTTTGCCTTTGCGATTCTGATTAAATAACGTTTGACTTTGGCGGGCGTCGACGTCGTCTGCGCTGTCTACGCTTTCGTCTTTGTCTGCGTCCTCGTCACCTACCATGTTTATGCGACACACACACATGCATACTTAGAGCGCAATATCCCTGTATGCAACAGGCAGTGCCCGTTATGAACTGCCAGATAACAACTGTCATTTTGTATGATTCTGCTTCTTCTTGTTTATGTTTGGTTAGGTGGCAACACTTGTCGCCGCATTCACATGTAAATGGCGTCTGCTTTTATTGGTCTATTTAAGCTCTAATTTGAACAAATTAAATTTTTTTTCTTTAAGCTTTATATAATAGACAGACGCTACAAAGATTACCTTTAAATAGCATAGAGCTTTTGTTCAATTGTTCTTGAATATTTGATTTTAGTCCAGAAGTGTGACATCATATGAATAACGGTACTTTCTAAAGCCTCGCTAAAGAGTCTATCATGATATTTATTGTAATACATTAATCGGATAGATAAGATATGGATGTGTATATAATGAGATATATTAATATTTTTACGAGAGTATTTGAAACATGGATATATATTTGGTTACACCGAGTTGCCAAGCTTCATGAGAAATCCGAAAAATTGGATTTGACAGCTTTTCGAGTGCAATGTGAGAATTTCCAATAAATATATTTTTTTTCAGTTGAAATGGAATATAATGGCTATTTGAGTGCGGAATTACAAGTATAATTATGCCTTACAGAGTTGCCAGACTGCATTCAGAACTTGAAAAACTCAATTTGATGAAATTTTGACATTATGACAATAATAAAATATAGAAATCTGAGCCCAGTACCAAAGCATAAATGCTTACTTATATACATACATAAGCAGCGTTGCCAGACTGCATTAAATTATATAAAGTTCGGTTTTAAAGAAGGTCTGCTAAGTTGTTATATAAAAATAGCTAAATGGGTATATATAGCTGAGCAGCGTTGCCATACTTTGAGAAGTTGAAAGGACTTTTGGCTGAATAGAGTTGCCACACCGTAAGAAAGTGGATTTTGATTAATGCTTATAAAAATTTTAGCCACATATGAAAGCTCATATGGGCTAATGCGATTATTAATTGCGTGTATGGGAATGAACAGCGTTGCCACACAGCTAAAATGGCGCAAATGCAGCGTCTAAACGCTGCATCCGTTCGCTTCATTAGCTCTACATGGGCGCGCCATGCCACACGGGGGCAACTGGGCAACAATGTTGCCGCTGCTGCTGCAACATGGGCAACAGTTGTCATCAACGGGCAACTGCTCGTTCTTGTTCTTCTGTTTGATTCTGTGCTCATTCTCATTCTCAGTCTGAGTCTCAGTCCGAGTCCGAGTCCGAGTCTCATTCTCATTCTCATTCCCATTCCACGCATGCGCAGTCTACTTTTCAATTTGGCATCATCAGCAACAGTTGCTGCTGCTGCTGCTGCTGCTGCTGCTGCTGCTGCTGCTGTTGTCTTTCGTTTCTTGTCTTGTTTCAGCTGGCGTGTAAATCTATTAACGTCGCCTCGTTCTATGACTGGCAACGCATCATTGTAATTCTTTGGCTCACTTGCTGCTCCTGCTGCCAATTGGCAATTGGCAATTGCCAGTTGGCAGCAACTGTTGCCAGTTTAGAAGTTGGCATTGCGATCGCCTCGTGCCAATTTGCCTAAGTCGTCTGTTTAACTATTTTTGCCATTTGCCATTTGCCGTTTGCCGTTTGCCGTTCGCCTCTTGGCCAGTTGATGCTGCTCCATTTGGACGTGCGACTTTTATCTCTGATATTTTATTTCATGGCACGTCGCTTGTGGGGCGTCCTCTTGAACATGTTGCTGCTGCTGCTGCTGCTGTTGTTGTTGTTGTTGTTGCTGTCTCGATTGTTGTTCCTGTTGTTGTGCTTGTTGCCCAGTTAGCAGTCAGTCAACGTAGACGAGCGCCACCTGCTTCCCCAATTGCTGTCTCTTCAATCTATTTGCATAGCAGCTACAAGCACACACACACACACACACACACACACACACACACACACACACACACACCCAGAGCTGCCTAATTTGTGGCCCATTGTGGGTCAACAGACGCGAACCTCAATAGCCAAGCGCCTTTTGCCTGGGCCATGATTGATGAACGACAGCTAGCTGCCTCTTAATTGCCGCGACATTAGGCCCACGCTAGACATGCCGCTGGCCACGCCCCAAAAAAAAAACTGAACAACAAAATGAGGCAAGGGCCGGCGCTCAGACATGTGCTGCAGTCTATTAAGTATAGATTAGATGCAAATGTCTTTAGATTGATGGAACAAAGATGCAGAGCTGAGATAGGAAAGCTGAAAAATTGAGTCTAAATAGCAGTTAGATTAGCGATAGTTAGGAAATACAAGCTACAAAAAAGTTAGTTAAAAGTGATCAAAGAAAACTTCAAGTTGGCCTAAAGCTGAAGCAAATAATTAAAGCTGAATATTGACAAGGGTCTAAGGTAGTTGAAGTTAGAAAAATTAATTAAAGCAAGATTAAAGACAGTTAGGAAAATCAAAGAAAAATGCAAGTGAGAGTCGAAGCTAGTTAGAAAAGTCCAGCATAAATACAAGTCACATTGCAGATGCTTAAAAGTGATCAAAGAAAACTTCAAGTTGGCCTAAAGCTGAAGCAAATAATTAAAGCTGAATAGAAAAAGGCTGCAAACTAAGACAGTTGGCGATCTTAAAGATAAATGCAAGTTAGATAAAAGACAGTTAGCAGAAATCAAAGATCGATTCTGCTGAGATCTTAGCTGCTTAGAAAAGTGTCAGTTAAATGTAAGTTAGACTAAATAAAGTTAGATTAATCAGAGATAAATATAAGTGAACTTAAGGAGCGTTAAAAAAATCAAGGAAAAATTTCAGTTAGATCCTGAGATGTTTAGAAAAATACTAAAAAAAAATACAACAAAAATTTGGATCATAAAAAAATTTATATAAGACTTGTTAGATCCCTGATTTTGGAAATTTTGGGCAACGTTATTCAAGGCGTCTGCTCAAAAATAAAAATGTTTAAAATTTGTATATTTTTTTTGAATAATTTTGAACAGTCTCTGAGGCGCTTGCTGCAGCCCACTGTGCGCGTGCAACTGATTTGAATGGCTCCACTGTGCGCAGTGAGCAATGTAAATGGCACTGAGCCTTGGTCTGGGAGTGGGACTCGGACTGGGACTTGATCTGAGACTCGGACTGGGACTGGGACTTGGCCTGGCAGTTGTTATTTGGTTATCTGTCCAAGCCATATAAGTCGACAAATGCGCAGTTAGGCCGTGGTCCATGGCCAATGGCTGATGGCACAGCTCCGATGTCCGATGGCAATGACAACGTGTGTGTTACGTACTCGCATTTATGATTGGCAGCTGTGGCAGCTGTGGCAATGGTGGGTGCGGATGCTGGCGGTGCTGCTAGACGCAGCCGCAGCCGCTTAGATCGCGCAGACTGTGGCGCAAACACCGTTGGCTGTATAAATAAAAAGCGCACTTACGATTCCAGATGCAGCGTTGCAGTTGGAATGCGTTTAGCGGCGACTCGACTCGGGTCCCCAAGAGCAGCGACCTGCCCAGCTGCCCGCACCTCGTCGCAGCCACACAGCGGGGCAATGTCAAGAATGTTAATGCAGCGGCAGCAGCAGCACAACGCTGCGCCTTGATCAGCCATCGAATACCCTGGCGAGACTCTAGAGAGACTCTCATAAAAGCTTTCATTTCAGTTGAAAGACTTTACAGAATGCAGCAGCAGAGAGTTGAGTTGACCTAGGGCAAACTGCTTCTAAGACGCGAGCATGCCCCGTCTGCTTGCACGTGCTGCGTACAGGGTATACCAAGAACAACAACTGTAGAAATGAGCACAAACATTTACTTAATCCATTTCCAATGCAATTGCTCCCGTTCCCGTTCCCGTTCCCGTTCCCGTTCCCGTGCCCATTCCCATTCCCGTTCCCGTGCCCATTCCCATACCCGTTCCCATTGACGTTCCCGTTCCTTGTAGAATTCATCTAGTTTTTTCTTTCTTCTTCTTCTTTTCGTTTGTCTCTCCATTTGCACAGCGACATAGCTACAGATAGTGGGGGCTACAGTTACTTAGAGCTAATTTCCTGGCCGTCGACAGCGGAGGATTGCCGCCTGGCCTTGGACTTGGTCTGCTCCGGTAGAAAGTATGCCATCCCACTGAGAACGAGAACCAGGCCGAGCAGTGCCCAGAAGCTGCTGTCGCAGCTGCTGAACAGCAGGCCGCCCAGCACATTGCTGCCCACGACGGCGCCGAGTCGACCCACCATCATGATGAAGCACATGCCCATCGCGTTGATCTGCGTCGGGTAGAAGTCCATGGCAATGGTGCTGACCAGGCCGCCGCAGTTGCCAATGGCCATGGCCAGGGTCAGCGCGATGACCACCAGGATGAAGTCCTGCAGCCAGTGGAGCAGAGCCAAGCACACGACGGTCAGCAGCATCCAGGCGACTGGAGAGGGAAGCAGAGAGAGAGAGAGGGAGAGGGAGAGAGGGAGAGGAGAAGATTAGATAGAGAGCAATAAACATAGAAGTTAAGAGAGAGCGGGAGGGGGAAAGAGCAAAGTAAGAAGAGATGAAGAGAGAGAGAAAGAGAGAGAGAGAGAGAGAAAGAGAGAGAGAAAGATAAATAGGAAGATAAATGATAAAAGACATAAAAACAAAATGAAGACAGGGAAAATGAGAGAGAAGAGAGTGAGAGAGAGAGAGAGAGAGAGAGAGGAGTATGTAGAGAAAGGAAATAAAGAAGAAGAGATAAATGAAGGAAAAGAGAGAGAGAAATGCGTAAAGAGACAAAAGAAAAGAAGGAAAGAGAGAAAATGCGAGAAGTACAAAAAGAGAGGAAGAGAAAAATGGAAATATAAAGAGAGAGAGAGAGAAATAGAAAAAATTAAAAGACAAAATGAGAGAGGTAAAGAGAGAAAATGCGATCTATAACAAGAGAGAGAGAAAAAGAGAGAGATAGAGAGAGAAACAGAAAGAAAGAGACAGCGGATAAATATATATGAAATAGTGAGAGACATAAATAGAGAGGGCGATGCAGAAAGAGACAGAAAAGTAGAGTAGAGCAAGGGAAACTGAGGCCAAGGGAGAGAGAGAAAATGACAGAGAGTGAGTGGCAAATGGGGAGAGAAAGAGAGGCAATACGAGTGTGCGTTGCTCTCGACTTTCTCCAGTCAATATTCTCGAGCCAAGGCGGCGAGAGAGAAAGACAGAGAGAGAGACAGAGAGAGAGAGAGAGAGAGAAAAAGTACTCACTCAATAGATTCCGCTTGCCAATCATATCGATGGTGTAGGCGAAGATGAGGTAGATGAGCGTGAAGGCGCCTCCAATGGTGATCATCACCTGGTAGGTAGTGATGTCCGCTGACATGATGCAGCCGCTGCCATCCTCTGCGGATTGCGGTTCGGGGTTGAAGCTCTGCAGGACAGTGCAGAGGAGCGAGCCGCGCGCTGTGTCCTTGCCCAGCTCGTTGAGTATGGTGGGGAACCACATGAAGATGCCCTGGGCGATGCCATAGATGAGGAACTGCATGCTGCAGATGTTGAGCGTGTGGAGGACGCGCGAGCGGTGGAAAAGCGGCACCGTCTGCTGCCAAATGAGATGCACTGCATCACAGAAGCCGTGCACATTCGACAGACTGGCGCCGCCCAGCTGCGGGGCCAGACGCTCCACGGGATACTCGCTGGCGGGCCTGCCCGAGTTCTGGGCGAATATCGTGCCCAGCGTTTGCAGCGCCTCCTCGGTGCGTCCGTGGACGAGCAAATACTTGGGCGTCTCGGGCACCATCAGCAGACCGATCAAGGCCAGCAGTGCGATGGAGACGTCGGCGATGAGAAACAAACGCCACGAGGCGACGCTCACGCCCAGCAGCGTGCCGCTCAGCTGCAGCGGCAGGATGCCAATGGCCACAGCTGCAAGTGGTTGAGCCGGTTGAGAAGTGGCAGGCGGAGATCGAGCCAAGCTCAGACTCACCTGGTGCAAACATCATGGCAATGCACATGAAGCAGGAGAGCAGCGTGACATGTCGGACGCGTGTGCGGTTGCCATGGAACTCGCCGCACAGGCTGAACACGCACGCCTGTCCGCCGGATATGAAGAAGCCGGTTAGGAAGCGGAACACGATTAGCATCCAAATGTTGATCGAAAAGGCCGACACGATGGAGCTGATGGCGCTCAGGAGCATCGCATAGCGCAGCGTCACCACGCGCCCCCAGGTGTCCGCCAGGAAGCCCATGGCATGCGAGCTGAGCACAACGCCCAGAAATCCGGCCGATGCCAGAATGCCCTGCTGCTCCAGCGTGGCCTGCAGGTCACACTTGACCAGCGGCATGATCAGGCTAATGCCCATTATCTCCACCATGACGGCCATGAAGCAGAGCCCGCAGACGAGCAGCAGCTTCAGATGGAAGCGTCCGTGGCCCGCCAATGTGATCGCCTCCTCGAAGCTGTATTCGCGTTTGGCTAGCGACTTGCATTTGCTCACGACAGTGCCTGCAATAAAGAAGCGCAGCACATCAATCACACGTCAATCACACGTCAATCACCGTGTCAATCACTCGAGCAACGTCGCAGCTGATTTGCATAATTGGCAGTGGCTTAAGTACTGGCGGCGCACTGGGCTTCCAGGCCAGTCGATGCCGTCATGTCGGAGGAAACTGCAGATCCCGCTGCTGGCTTGCCGGACGATGTGCGCCTGCCCAAGGAGCAGCCGCCGCCGGCTTTCTTCGACTCGAAAACGTTTCGCCTAATCTCGCTTGTCATCTACCTGGGCGGCATCAGCGGCCTGGGCATGGTGCTGGCCCTCTACTATTTGATCTTCTTTGATTCCGGCATGCCGGACATTCATCTCAAGTTCCCCGTCTCGATTGGCGGCCAGCCGGTGCAGAAAGTGCACGAGTACCAATAGCAGGTGAGTCCCCTTCCCCAACCAGTCGACCCCAGCCCAGCCCGACCCAGCGAAATACGTGTCAAATAAACACAGCCCTCACCCGGACATATTCCAAACGGAGCACTGTCGCTTGTCTAATTGGATTTGCCATTTGGACACGGGCTGAAATGCTCGAACTGAACATACCCTGTAATTGCGAACAATTGAATTAGTTAAAATCTTTGACAGCTACTTTAACATGCACATTGAATGCTCACGTTAAATGCTTAACAGACAGTTACAAATATCAAGCGAAGCATCAATTTGGCAACATATTTGCTATTGAACATAAGAATTGCACTTCAATGCACTTACCAAGCTCATGTCAAATATTTGACAGGCGGATAAGACCACAAAAAAATTTAATACAAATTTAAAATTCAGTTAAACTTCAAATGATCAAAAAAGTTACTACACAAGTGTCTGTTAAATACATGCTAAGTTCATGTTAAATATTTGACAAGCAGTTGTGATCAAAAATTTCATTCAAATTCATAAATTAAACAAACTTCTTACTGCTGAGTCTCTATATAGGTGCATGTTAAATATTTGACAGGCAGACGCAACTTTATGTCAAGAATTGACAATACAAATGCTAGCAGTAATTTCACATGTTTAAGTAAAATCAAGTTGCCCTCATTATTCAGGCATTACATAGAGCTGGAAATATGATTTCTCTATGGTTCCTCTTTTAGAGGGAATTACCCAGGCACGGCCAAGAAATGTGTGCTTGTACCTTTCGCATATGGATTGCGGCTGGGATTTTGCTCATCCTTTAACATTCACTGACCGACTAACAGCTACCCTGTACAGCAGACAAGTTATCTGGCTTTCATTCAGCAAAAATGTACTGAGTTGAGCTGACTAGCTCTGGATAGACTTTCTAGCTGGCTAAAGGAAGCTTCAGATGCTTCTGCGGCATACCCACCATCAGTCGTTAAGTACAGGGTATGCAGAAAGACAAATGACGACGGCGCTGACAACAAATCAAACCAGGTCAAGTGGCCAAAGAAAAGAGCACGTGATGTGGGTAGGCAAAAAGTGGGGGCGGGGTCGATAGCAGCTTGGGTACGGATGGGGTATAGAAGCTTCTAGGCAACTACGGTGTAGAATCTTATTAGTGTGGCGGTCAAGACGCTGCCTTCATCAGCGGAGCACGCTCGACGCGGACATGACCGAGGCAGCCAGGGTAGCGAGTGGCGCGTGGCGCGTGGCGCGTGGGCAGCGCTCAAATCGCAATCGCAATGCAAGACTAAGTAGAAGAAGAAGGCGTGCAAGAAGTAGAAGAAGAAGAAGCGAAAACCGCAAAAATAAAAACACAAAATGCAAATTAGCAGCAAATTGCAACCGGCAGTCGCACGCCTCGATTCAGTAGGCCTCCAGAAACGCCGAGCCGTGGAAGAGCGCAGAGTTCGAACGGGTTTCGTTTGGTTAGACAGCGGACATAGTTATATAGTTCCATATAGTGCACATATAGTCCAGATCCGTGCAGTAACTGGATATCATGTCGTCGACGATGCTGACCGATCTGGCCGCCGTGGTCAAGGAGGCGAAGGACGAGGAGATCCAAGTGCCCAAGTCGAATGATTTCTTCGAATCGAAAACCTTCCGCCTGCTCACCCTGGTGCTCTATATGGGCGGCGTAAGCGGCATGGGTCTATCCCTGGCCATGTACTACCTGTTCATCTGGGACTCTCGTATGCCGCCGCTGCCCATCTTCAAGCACACGCATCCCATTGGCTAGACGTCGGAATCAAACAAACAAAAATTTCGTGTTTTTGTTTTGTTTTGTTTTGCTTCTTTTTTTTTTTGGGTAAGTCTGTCGTGGAGGTTAGGGGTCTTAGCGCCCTCCAGCCGCACGGCTTTCACTTTGTTTTTGACCTGCGCTTTATGTTAAACACTCGGATTAATTGAGAGGGGGTCGTGGGCCACTCATCCAATGCGAAAAGCAATTCAATGGGCCGTGGGTTGGGCTCTTAGGTCTGTCTCTGGGGCGACGGACTCTGACTGCTCGGTGTTTGATATAGAAGTAAATAGAAATAGAAATAAATAAAAAAAATGACAGACACGCAGAAAACTAATCCGCTTTAGCACCTGCTGGGCTATCCAGCTCAGCGCCGCTGCGTCGCTAGTGTCCGATTTTGATTTAATCGACGTCGGCGTCAATAAAATGAAATCAGTAATCGGTGCGACGCACAGCTAGCCGGGCCAAGCGACCCTCCTCAGTTCACTTGGCCATCGCGCAGACAGATATCCGGACAGAGTGCATAGCGAGATGTCAGCTCAAATCCCAGCCAGCGTTAACCTGGCCAAGATCGTCAACATCATTGGCTCGAATGTGCGCGAAGAGCAGGCCGAGCCGGAGCGGGAGCCGCCGCGCGAGCACTCGGCCATTGGCAGCACGCGCAGTGTGCGCCTCGCCAGCAGCGGAACCCCTCGACGGGCCGCCTACTGCTACGTGCCCAAGTCGCCGCAGCTGGAGGAGATTGTGTTTGCCGAGCCGACGTGCTCGGAGCGCTTCGCCCGCTACTTTGTGCTGGTCATCTATCTGTGTGGGCTCTGCAGCCTGGGCTTCATACTCTCCGTCTATCACCTGTTCTTCTGGGACTCGCGCATGCCGCCCGTCTTCAAGGGTCAAAAGAAGCCGCCGGCCTTTGGCTAATCGTTAACCCGTTGACCGTTGCTGGTAAGTGCAGAGGCAAGAAGAGCAGGCGCTACCCTTTCCCTGCTGCCATTCACGTGTGGGGAATACTTTGAATATAGCTAGAAGATAAATCCAGGAGAGAAGGATTGCTCAACTTAGGGGCCATGTGGGCAGGTAGAAGGGGCAAACGAGCTTCAGTTGCCCGAGCCTGTGTGCAGGGTAACTGCTAGTCGTGCATATCGAACTCGTTTCAAATCTGATCGAACTTTACAATTTGCATGATTGCGTATAAGAGTGACTTATACGCAACTGCGATACAGTCAGCTGCTGTTAAAGCGTAGACTATTTTTGAGTTTGTTTGCCATTCAAGGTGGCGCGACACCTGCGAGGAATCCTTGAGGGCCATTTGCAAACAATGTTGCAGTCGCTGCAGCTGGGCAATTGGCCTGGGGGGGTGAACTGGGCGTGTGGCCTACATTTTCGCCAGCCACATGATGAATGTGTGTGAGGGTGTGCGAGCGAGTGTGTGTGTGTCTTGCTTATACAACAAAATCAATGGCCAACCGCTGCAATCGTTCGATGCCCGCTCTCGTTCTGGCTCTCTCATGCCGCCACTCTCTGGCGCGCACCCTCTCTCAGTCTCTCTCTCTCTCTCTCTTTCTCTCTCGCGCGCGCAGTTGCATTGGTTTCGTTGTCCTAGTGACCTAGTTGCAGATTATTAACCTCCAGTTAACGACAAACGGATTTTACCGAATCGAAATGGAAACAAGTAAAAGTTTTAGCCAGTGCACGCAGGACACGTTCGTCGGATACCCTGTAAATGCAACTAATTAAATTATAGCTAGAGTAACACAGAGCGTATACACAATGTAGAGACAAAGCTAAGTTTATATAAGAGTTTTCGTAGAGCTAACCGCTTATCGACATACATGTATAAGAGCTTTCGAAAATCTCAATGTAGAAAGTAACACAAGTATATATAAGACTTTTCGAAGATCTCTATGTTACAACAACATAACAGTGCCTTAACAGAGAGTGTACATAATCTGATATAAGAGTTTTATAAGATCCATAAATAGAACTTGGGCGTAGCTGAAGCTACTTCATCTGCCCAGTTTGCAGGGTATCGAAAAGCAATAAAGCAGCTCATGGCGGTTGCTAGTGAAAGGTGTATATGTTGCAGGTGCAGGACACCCAACAGCGAAAGTTTCCCATGCACAACGCACAACAACAATTCAAATGTGTGTGAACAAACACAACATCAACGCACACACACAGACACGGAGAGAGATACACATCCATGCATACACACATACAAGTGTATGCATGAAACTGTATATTTAAATTCGCCTTGCCCACCGTTGTCCTTCGCACAGCCGTCTGCGAAGGTTGTCCCGGACACGGTCACACTCAAAAGTCAGAGGCGACTGTAGACAAATGCAGCGCAGCGACTGCAGCGACTGCAGCGCCGCTGCCCGCAAGATGGCGGAAGATGCCAATTAAATTGTCGAAATGTCTGGAACATGATTTCATTTGAATTATGGACGAATGCTCGCTCAGTTGTGTTCTTTTTTTCTCGGATTCTTAAATTATTTATTTATTAATCATCTATTTGTTGGGCGAAATCAGGCGCGCATTTGCATTTCCGCGTGCAATAAACAACTAAAACGGGCGTGGGCGTTGCGCTCTTGACACATAAAGCAGTGACAGGGCCTCAAGACGTGCCGATGTGCTGCCTCAGTCGCAGTCGCTGTCGCTGCCGCCGCCGTTGCAGGCCAGGCATAGCCAGCCAAGCAGGCTATGTTTTTGTTTTGGAATGCCAGCGGCGCGTGCCAGTTGCATTTAAAAACAACAATAACACGACAGCTAACGGACCGCATCCAGACGTCGCGGTAGCAGCAAACGTCGACGTTGACGTCGGCAAATTTGTATGCAAATGAAAATGAAACGAAATGAGCAGGCAACGAGCGAGCTGCTGACAGCTGGCGTAGAGTAAACAGGCATTTTATGAATGAAATTATATGCGAAAAATGCCGAAAAAGCGCAACGCAATGTGGAGGATCGCAAAGGCTAGAGCGAGCAGGAGAGAGAGAGAGAGCAAGAGCTAGAGGTAGAGTGAGTCGGGCGAAAGGCTGACACGAAGTCTAAGCCGAACGAAGCGCAGTAGCAGCAGAAGCAGACGAGGAACAGGCGATGCCGCAGCCGCTGCCAATGGCTCCTGCACTGACAGAGGCAGCAGCTGAAGCAGCAGCAGCAGCAGCAGCAGCAGCAAAGGCTCTGCTAATGGCAAAAGCTTTTTGCGTTGGGGCGTCATTTCGCTTGCATTCGCTCGACGCGTCGGTTGGCAGCTTTTTTTTTGGGTGACTGCGACTGTGACGGCGACGACTGTTTAACTTTAACTGTCAACAATAACAATAACAAACTACAAGAACTTTGCATTTATGTACAACAAAAACAACAACAACAATTAGACTAACACATTGCACTGCCAAACGCAAACAACAAATATAAAATATATATATTGTATGTATATGTATGGAAAATGAAAGTGCATAGCAACAATAAATAATTTACAATCAAAAAAAAAAAACAGCAACGAAATCAAAAAAAAAAAAGAAAATAACAACAACTGAGAAAACAGAAAAAATAACACAACGAAAATCAAAAGAGAAGCAGAACAACAAGAACAGTTAGACAACAACGAAAATGAATTCCAAAGTTAATTCGCTGGAGGAGAAAGTGAAACTGCCGCCAACGGAGACAATAAGCCGTTGCTATCAGCCGCAGCAGAGCAACCGTAAGGTCATACGCATCCTAACGGTAGCCGTCTATGTGCTGTGCGTATCGCTGGCGGCCATAATGCTATCGCTATACTATATTTTCATATGGGATCCGACCATACGACCCTTCGTTACCAAGGCCAATCAGTGCGGTAAGTTTTTTGGCGGCGTCCACAGGCAAGAGCCCCAAGTGCTGTTAAATGAGTTAAGCATTAACTGTAACTAAAACTGCACTAGTGTGCAGAGGGAAGGTGTGGGGGAGTAGGGGGCAGTGGGAGTGTGGGTGTGGGTGTGGGTGGCTTTCGGCTATGGTCAACTGAGCACAGAAACGAAGAGAGGTGAGGGGCGAGAAGGGTCTTCGGACGCGCCACTAAATCAAACTGGGACACAGGCTTTCAACTAGGCTAAAGCTAAATTGCATATTACACACACACACACACACATACATACACAGCCAGCCCGTTACATTAACTAGTGTGTAGCCGGAGCGAGAGGTAGATGAGGCGTTATAACAATAACGGTAACGGCTCGGAACGCTTTCGGTTCTCGTGTAGTTCTCGTTGTGCCGGAAGGGCGTAAGAGTTTGCCTGCATGTTCTTGCTCTTATTCTTCTTCTTCTTCTTCTGCTTCCTTTTCTCCTTCTGGCATTCTTGTTGCTTTTGTCCTTTTACAGTTTTGTAAATCAACTCAAAATTGGGTCAATGGGCTATCTCTCATGCGTGTGCCTGTGCCTTTGTGTGTGTATGTGGAAGTGCCTGCATAGCTTTTGCGGTTCAATAAACGCTTTGTCACGAGCCATGAAATTAGCTCAGCCTAAAAAATTGGCAAAATGTTTGACCCGTCACTAATGCATTACTATAAAGCGGGCCGATTGGTGGTTAGAGAAAAAGTTGAGTCCATAGAAGCTTACTTATTAAATTTGATGGGCTTCCAACACCGGGCAACAGTACTTGGGTTTCAACTTTCACTAAGCCTTTGTGTTGGCTTATTAAAGTTGGCGAATATCTCAATTATAAGAGTCGATAAATAGAATTAAATAATAATAATTTGTTTATCTTAATAGTGCAGCTTAAAGGGTGTGCAAAGAGAAACCATTTGTGGTTGAGTATCAAAAGCCGCACTTAACACCTTTGAAATACTCTTATATTCACATACTTATACACACTCTTATACATACTCTTAACAAGCTCATTTTATTACGCGCTCTGCTACAGTGAAGCTTATACAAACCGATTCTGAAGTACAGTGCATTCAACCTATATTTGAAAGCTTTTCAAAATAGTTTTGACTAGTCTAAGCAGTGCCGGGATATACCTATTTGACTTGAATATATTTCTATTAGCTAGACAGTATCAATAAAAACTCATATTGGTCTTGAATTGAAATATATTTTAAATATATTAACAAATTTGATAGCAATGGTTGAAATCTGTTTGTCTTACACTAAAATCGATAAATATCGATAGAAAAAGACGCATAATAATTAACTTGATTAAGGTAGACTTATGAAACGATATGTAAGCTTCTTTAAAGCTGTCTCAAAGATATAGATCGATCGATAAATATCGATTCACTGCAGACAAATTGATAAATATCGATTGCCAGTCGGTTGCTCAAGTCTCTAAAAATGATAATCACATAAAAAATAATCTCTTTCATGCTGTGGATCTGCTGCCTTTGATTTTGCATAATAAATCACGTCTCTAAAGAGTTATCGATAACATATTTTGATATTTACACATAGCGAAATATCGAATTTGAGTATGAAGCACAAAAGTTATGAAGAAATGAGCCAAACTGATCAAAGTGTAACATTACAGGGTATCGCTGTACCTGATATTTTCTCAATATTCAAATTTTGCTTTCAGACAAAATTGTGATACCCGAAAAGATTGCCATACGCCTATTAAACTCATCGGAAGTCACCGCAGAGCAGTTCTACAAGCACATCCTCGAACAGTATCGCATCCTGAACCACTTGCAAATGCAGCGCCAACAGTTCCTGCAGAAGCAGCACCTGCAGCTGCAGCAGCTGGAGGCGAGCAACCGCTTTCAGGAGGTGTTCGCCACGGCCACTATCATACAGGCGCATCAGCAGCCGCAGTCACGTGATCCGCTCCAGAAGTCAAAAGCTCTACAAGCTGCCGCTGCCTCCGTCGCCGCCTCCTCGCTCTCACTCGCCAACAATAGTAGTGGTAGCAGCAGCAACTCGTTCCGCCTTGAGCCGCCAGCGAACGCGGACAGCTCGTCGCACCACCTGCCCCTGGTGCTAGACACCTCGCCACCGGTGGAGGGCAGCGTCCAACATCTGAAGCGAAAGAGCCATCGGGGCCATTACAAGCACCATCGCAGTCGAGCCGGCGGCAGGAAGCTAGCGGAGCGAGCTGGTGCCACTGCCACCGTCAGCACCACAGCCAGCGAGCAGCCAACAATGGCTGCACCACATGGCTACATGGATACACCACTCAATCCGGCAGCCGGCACCATCTTGCAGCAGCCGCTGCAGCTCTACACATCCATGCCCATACCGCTGATCCTCAGTCCCAGCAATGGGGAGAAGCGTCTGTCGCACCACAGTCACAGCCATGCGCACGGCGAGCGACGCGGCATGGGCGGTGGACAAACCAGACGACGCACCACCACAGCCACCGTATCGGGCTACGATGCGCAGACCTACCTCAATCCGTTCCTCACCGGCGAGCTCATCTTCGAGAAGTAAGCAGCTGAGCCACACTCACACAGAGACGTACACACACACACATATACACAGCCATACACACACACATACACTCACACTCACTGAGAGAAACACGTTGAACATTTGGCCAAAGTTTAGCCAAAGATACTTTACTCTAAGCATCTGGCATCGGATGAGATGGGAATTGAGACTCGGGCACTGTCATAGCCAGACGTTTACTACTACAACTGCAACCACAACTACTTGCACTCCAGCAGATGCATCAGATATGACTATATGAATATATCATTCATATATATATATATATCAGAGTTGACTTTTCCAGTTTCTACTTTGAGTTAAGCTTGAGCGCTGTGTCTAATCGACTGGAGTTCATGGCTAATTGACTTCATGGCAAAGTTCCTTGTAAAGTTCATGTTACTTGAGCTTTTTTACAAAGAAAACTTCACTTGCTGCACTCTTTTGACAAGAGCTGGTCAAAAAGTTAACACCGAGTCAACGTGTGCTATTATTCGGAGGAGTTCAACGAGCTGCTAAAATCAAGTTGGTTATGATCATGTGGCTGTTAAATAAGTGCATGTCAAATGCAGCTGGCAGTTAAAGGTGTGAGCTATTGTTAAAGCGGCTGCTAACTGCTGCAGCTGTACCGTTCCAACAGCAACCAGCTGTTAGAGCAAACATTAATGTTAAATGGATTTGAAATGGAATTGTGCTCAAAGAAATTCTTCGACAACTCTGGGAAATGTCATGGACGATGCTATGCACGGCACCTAGCGACACCACCCACTACGTATATACACATACATATACACACACACATATATATATCTAAATATATCAGAAAACAACTATATATATAGAGGGGCTTTACTTAACACTGATTCCTACAGGTCTAAAACACACACACACACACACACACACACAGGCAGCACACGGCGAACGCAATACTCAATAATAGTTATAGATGATATATAGTGCATACGATACTATCGCATGTTAGCACATAACGATAGTTAGGTACTTACTGACATATGTACCTAGACGGGACCCACTCCAATAGAGCGTCACTCACTGCGGCAAGCAAACGACACCCCACCTAGGACACTGCTTTAAGGCAACAACAATAACTAGTTAAATCGAAGGATATATAGTATATATTATAATCACAGTATCACACACACTCACGCATATATGTATACATATATATCACTATAACTCACGGCATCAAAGATTTCGGAGAGGGTTCGGCTTGGCATGAATATTTCATAGATTGATAACAATTGTTAACGATATTTATATGAGATTTGTATATAAGTGCACAGCACACATATAACTAACTATATATGCATATATATAGAGGGAATGATATATATATATATATGGAAACTACAATCTAAACGTTCAGTTTCGCTAGCAAATTGTGCATAAGCAAAAGTCAAGCTGAATCTTTTTTTCACGCTCTTAAAAGTATGCTACAAAAGTTGTTCACGAAATTGAACTTTAGTGGTTCGTTTTTTTTTTAAGATTCATTCATACATACATCTATATAGAACACAATATGTATGTATGTATGCGTGATTTTCTTTTAATAAATTTCTGTTCAGTTGACATTTGCGTAGATCGAACAAAATATAGTGTGAAAAATTTGCAATTTATATATATATATACATATAATATCTATATAATATATATATATACATATATGTAATACTATATAAAATACTGTAGAGTTTACTATCAAATTTGAACGTAAAGTTTTGATAAAGTGTTTGTTCCTAAAAAATAACAACAAAATTTCGATTGCAATGCAAAAAAAAAAAACAAAAAATAAAATAAATAAATAAAGTATAATTAGTATAAATATTTGGGTACAGTTCTCAATCGGAATTTAAAACATTTTGGTCCAAAAAAATTCAAGATAATTCGCATTCGCAAAAGCTCATATAAAAGTTGAAAATTAAAAAAAAAAAATAGTTTTTATAAAAAAAAAAACAAAAATGTACAATTTTTTTTCTCACTCAATATTCACATATTGAGAAACTAAAAAGAAATCATAAATGTTCATGAGTGTTCACTGTACTTGCATGCGCTTTATATATATTTGAACTTTTGTCTTTGTTTCGCTTGATAGCTCTCTAGTTTGTTACCGTATATAGTGTACCCATATATATAGCTATATATGACATATGACACACGACACATGACATTTGACATTTGCATACTCATACATGAGAACTATTTACATATATATAAAATTGATAAATTGCTGTGGCACACCTCGATGATACGAAGGAACTGCAAATGCGCACCCAAAACCGAAGAGAACAAAACCAGTAATCCCTTAAGAAATAAACCCTATATCATATACCAAAATCACAATCAAAAAACCAAAGAAAAAAATAAAAAAAAAAAGTTTTACACCAAGTTGAGGCATATTTGAATAAAAAAAAAATTATACATATATATAAATATATATATATATAACTATATATATATATATATAACTATATGGCTTTACGACATAGAATTGTATCCAGTAACTGTATTTGTAACTGAAAAAAAAACATATAACTTGCATATAAAATACACACACACACACAGACACATGTATATGTACTATGTGTGTACCTAGTTGGAAAAAAAAACGAATCATTTTTTGGCAATAATAAAGCATAGAACGAACTATAAACACAAAGCAAATAAACTTCTTTAACTGCAGTCAACGAGGAGTAGTCGACCGGCAGCTACCCTTGAAGCATCGCTCAATGGACAAGAAAGAAGTCAGCGGCTCTACGGATACAGCGTTGTTCATAAAAATAGTAGTGCGACTGAGCACTAGATTATTGATGAAACTAGCTGTATATACCCATAGATATATCCCTAACTCTGCTAAAGAGCTGAGTTGATATATAAGAGCAAGTTCTAACCTCTATATATCGCACATAATATAACTCACTTCAGTATTACCGTTAACAGGGTATATGGGACAATCAAGAAATTTCGGTTTTGCTCTAATGAGAATTTAATTAGATTTACAGCTCAATGTTCCAAATTAATTAAGGGAACAGCTCGAGGAGTTCTTATCATCAATTTTTATTCGGAATTTCACTTTTACACAATTTAATTACAAGATTTGTTGCCAGAACTTTTGAGAGCCCAGTTTTCATGGGGCACTCACCGAACTCACCAAACTCGCGCTCACAGTCTATCACATAGCCCGGATTATCCATGGCACACGATTATTTATGTATATATTCGAAACAAGAAAAAAAAAGTAGGCTCGACTTGTCTCTAGATCTCTTGTATGCACATAGGTGGAAGTTTGGATATATGACTAATTCAATCTGCGTCGGGCTGAAGTTAAGATAAGTTTTCTTTTGCTGTTGCGACGACTGTCGTTGCCAAATTTCGACTGATTCAGCCCGAGAGCAGTCAATGCCACTTTAAACTTAAGCACTAGCATCTGGTCACGTTCAGCGTTCTATCTGGTATTGTTATATGGGCCAATTACAACGGTGTTCTGTAAGGCGATGGACTAAGAGTAATCAACACACATAAGGTAAACATTGAAAAGTAAAAGTTGGTTCGTTGGGTATGCCAGGCGGGCAGATACCTCTCTTCAAAAATGAATGAAAGAATTGATGATTGATTGATTGATGATTGATGATTGATGATTGATGATTGATGACACTGCATCTGGTCTGCTGTGTTTCTGTTTATATATCAGTTCTCTGATTGACTAGCGAAATGATTGATTGATTGATTGATGATTGATCTGCGGTATACATGTCTATTTTTATGAAAAGAAGTTTGAATGAGTGAAAGACAGCTTTAAAGCTTCAGTTGGCTGATTTGCCGACTGATTGACTGACAAAATGGTTTAATGATTGATGAGCGCACAGCTTTAGAGGTAAACATGGTCAATCAGCTAAGGCTATTGACTGACTGGACTGGCTGGAAATGATTGATTGATTGACTAAATTAAAATTTTAGCTCAATGATGGATCAATGAGCAGCATAAATTGATTGATTGATTGACTGACTGACTGATGATAGAGCAAAGGAATCCAGTCTATGTATCTGAAGTTCTCGCCGAAACTTTTCTTTGCATTCAAAGACAAAGGCATGTGAAAGGCCTGATACGCCTGCTGCTCTCGCATGATGCATCCAGGGTATTTGAAAAATAGCAAAATAACAAAAAGCCGCAATGGTTGAGCGGAGTGCTATAAAATAACTTAAGCAATCGCCCAGATACCGCTCAGAATAAGTGCAAGTCAGCGCGCTAGTGGGCGTGGCAACTGACACCACTCGCACCACTCGCACTTTCTTTGTGGATGGCGCACGAGGCTTGCGTTGAGGCCCCACCACACACTTAAATAAATACGTGCTAATGCCGAAATAAAAACCTCAAGTCAAATGGTAAACTACAAATAGTGTGCAACTTGAACTGGAACTGAAACTGAAACTGGAACTGGAAGACGGACGACGGCCTCAAGGTCATCAGGTATCCAAGAGGTGCTAACTAAGGTAAAAGTAAAAGATATCTTAGGATTAGAAGTTTATTAACACGAATCCATAAAGTTCTTCGTTACATTTATGTTATATACATATATATGATATATATATATATATATATTACTCTTGTCAGATGATAATCTCGCACGATATCCATACTGAGAATAGATGAATTCTATCAAATAGGTTATTCGACTTCGACTTCAACTTCGACTCACATCATATTTTATTTTAGCTTCTTATTTACACAGACATTTGAATTTTACTTCTGTAATTTGAGCGCATAAATCATAAACTTAACTATATTATAGTAGCCGATCTGAGACAGTGCTTAAATAGACATCAAATAAGCAGATAATGTTACAGAACTAACCTAAGCGACTTGTCAGATATACAGATATATAGATAGATAGATTCGAATTGACAAATCAAATATGATTAACAGCTGAATTATATATATGAATATATATATATATTTATAGACATATATATATATCTACATATATAGCTCAAATTGCTTTAATATACAATGAATGCATCTATTATAGAGTTAGTCAAAGAAACCTTAATCAAAGCTGGCAACAAAAAGTGTTGACAATGTCTTACAATTACGTCGTTGATATATAGTTATATATGTATATAGGATACAGAGGATTTGATTTAGATAAACAACGTTTTCTATTTATAAACACTTAGCTCAACCTCTGTCTCTTTCGCACGCCCTTCGCCCCCTGGATCTCTTTTTGTACCTTACTCTTCTTATCTATGGACATATATATATATATATGTTTGGATTTTGATAGCTCGATTCTTAAGCAGCTGTTTTGGGTGTTAGAACAAGAGCCAAGTAGTTTTTTACAAACTTGACTACATATTATTTACACTAAAAGCCAAAGATAATGTATATATAGAGTTAGAGCGAGAGAGAGCTATACAAATACACACATACGTAGCACTACTATCTTTCTAACGCAGCTACATAAGTTGGTAACAGCCTTACATAGATCGGCATTATCATGTTGTACAGCGAGTGGTAAAAATTTATGAGTATTTGCGTAGCTTCGCCAGCTGTAAAAGCAGAACTAGAAGAAGAAGCAGACGATCTGCTGTCTCATCTAACGATCAAAGACCACATTAGTTAAATGACAACGAAATCACGCTAAACATATTTCAAAACCTGAGGGTAAGCTGCCTGGTAAAGTTAATGTTAAGTGCTAACTGCAAGCAAGACTTCCAAACTACTTCGAGCTTATCAAATAGTTAAAAACTCTCATTCGTTTCTATACAAATCAATGTTTATTAGAAGTTCGTCCTTTCCATAGTCCAGTTGCAAGGCTCTTGGGCATTGCGATCAGTAAACATATGGGTTTTTGGTCTAAGAAAAAAGAGGAAAGCCAACTACGAATACATAAAATAAATGGCCTTTTTTGCTAAACGCTTAAGTTAAAATCGAATTCAAATTAATTAATATAACATATAAAACTATAAAAAAAAGGAATTGGAAAGAAACGAAAACAGAACGTATTGCTGAGATACACACCCATAGACCGTTAGTTGAAAATTACATATACATATACATATATATAAATATATATACATATATATAATGCTTAAGCTGGGATATGTACAGCAGGAATAGAATTGATGCGTCGACGTGCTACGAAAAGCTGCGCTTCAAATGTTTTTCATTTATACAACGGATTGATCATAACTAGATGGAAGATATAATATATATCTACATATATATATATATATCGATATAAATATTTATGTGTACAGATACACACATAGAGCTAGGTGTATGCACGAGCGAATCGAAGCTAAAAGCTTCCAACGACTAGGATCATCTAGGGGCTGAGCGGGTACAACAATGCTTTAGCTACTTTGTAAATGTGTGCGTGCGTGTATGTGTGTGTGTGTGTGTGTGTGTTGATTAACTCCTAATGGAAATGAAGCGAGAGAGATCTCAGCTATACTCTGTAGCATATGGCCAAAGCAGCGACGCTCTCACAGAGCACTCCACTCCAAGGAATTTGGAAATGTTGTATGTGAGTAGTCTGATCTGTTTAGATTGGTTCAAAATTGAAATGGAGGCGTATCACGGCAGGTGTGCGCATCCATCGGTGTTATGACAACGTGCAGGGAGAGCGTATTGCGCTGATTGCCCGTTAAATGCGGACTCAAATTGCGCGAGGTGTGCTCCAGCTCGTCGAAGGGCAAGAGATTATCCAAGTTGATGACACGCGCCTCATCCGAAAAGTATTCGGTGCGATGGACAACGGTGCGTATGTGCTCAATCTTGTTCTGCACGCCAACTATCAGCACGGCGACCTGTGAATTCGATAACTTTAAATTAATATAGCTCCTTGGTATAGACGTGTGTACGCACCTTGAAACGCTCCTCGCCAATGTCCTGATGCTTGCATGTGACACGCAGTCGCACCGTGTTGAGCGAACAGCCGGGCACATCCTCGCCCCAGACCATTTTGGCCTTGTTGTACTTGACGCCGCGCGGAAAGAACTCGATCTCCCAGGTCATGCACGAATCTTGAAACAAATTCAATTAAAAAGTTGTGAAAGACAGCAGCTGCCAGACTTCAAGACTTGATTCTTAAGGTTTTCGTAACACTTCCTAAAAAAGACTCTGTGAAAGTGAACTCATTGGGAGCAAATAGATTCATTGCTATAAAGATTTACTGTAATTTAGACACCTCTCAAGATTGAATAGGATAGACTTAAAGGAGACTGTGGAAGACATTCATCAGTTCTTTTACCTGTCTATGATACCCTAACACTGTCGAATTTATAAGGCTCCATCTCGCTATCGTTAAATGCTTATACAGTTAAATGCTTATAAATCCGAAACACTCACCGTCCTTAGTCTCGGCAATGTGTCGTTGTGAAAAGAAGCAGGTGACATAGGGCTTGTAGTCCTCGATCTTGTCAAAGTTGTGCACATCGATGCCGACGCTCCACGTGTCGTTCCAGTAGAGTCGAGGCGTGAATTGCAATTGGCCGCATTCGGTTGCACGGATCTCGCGCACACGATCCTCCTGCCCGGAATGATAGCTCATGGCGATGGCAATGCGATCGACCAGAAATTCCTTATGATATTCCATCAGCGGAACGATGAGCAGATGTGCCAGCTCCCTGGGCGTCATCATGCCAAAGCGTATGTGCATGACAGTCTGCTCAATTAGCTCCATGAAGTTGCTGGCCCTTTTGTCGGCGCTGAGGCCGGTTTGGGCTTCGATTAGTCCACGGCGATGCAGCAGCCACGTCTGCAAGATGCTAAACAATTTGTACTCGCTGGTGACAACGATGTCGTTCTGCTGCAGCAGCAGCTGCAGTATGGCGGGATCCATTTCAACGAAGTCCTTGGACTCGGCCACCAGTTCCAAATTGTTTTTGAGGAAACGCTTCAGCGTTTCGGTGAGATCATTGTGCGTGGGCGTAAACGAGAGCGTATATTGCAGCCAGGAGACCAAAAAGCCATTGGTCGCTGCCTTGGCCACGTGCTTCGTCATATAGCCGATGCACAGCTCGATGAGATCTCGCACATTGTATTTGTCGGACAATGCCAGCATCGGCATCACCGTCTGCAGTGTCACCTCGATCTGACCCACATACAGATACTTGATGAACTGTGGAAATACAGCCGAACAGCAGGCTTCCTCGTGCAGCTCGATCACGTGTTTGCTGCACTCGTTCCACTCCGGATTCATCAGCATGACTTGAAAGACATCACTGCTCGCACAGAGTATGACACGGTGTGCCGGATACTCCTTACCATCTACCAGCAGAACAATGTCCGACATCAGTTGCTCCGCATACATGTGGGCGATCTTATTCAGCACGCTGTTCGGATCAATCATCTGCTACACACACACACAAACATAAATATCAGTATTTGAAATTTATTGTTGCCGTTTCTTTGGGGCATTTGGGTGAGGGCTAGTTGCCATTTGCATACTCACGGTGCTTGCTCCATCTTGGGTTTCATCTGTTTCCAGGCACTTGCGCCGCTTGGCATCCTGGTCATCGTTGAGGGCTGTGCTGCCCTCGGTGCCGTTGGTGGCTGCAGCGGCCGCTGCTGCTGCTGCAGCGGACGCATTGCTGCCACTGTTAGGCTCTGCAGCAGCTGGACTAGCGCCTGCGCCAGCTGCCGCTGCAGCAGCGGCGGGAGCAGCAGCAGCTGCTGCTGCACCACCAGCTGCCGCAGCAGCACCCGCAACCCCAGCTGCTGCTGCTGCTGCTGCAACACCACCGCCACAGGCAGCAGCTCCACCAGAGGCGGCCACGCCGTTACTGTTAGCGTTCATAAAAATCTTTGCACACGTTTCTGTTTAGCTCATTGTAACACCAGACACTAGCTCCGTTTCTACTCCAAGTTCAATTGATTTGGCAACTCTTGCTGGAAGTGTGTGTTCGTATCGTGGGACATGCCCAATTGGTTAACAGTAGTTTCAACCAATATAAAACTATAAATTGCGTTTGTGTGACTGTGCTACTGTGTGACCGTTTTCATTTTACTAGGAAAAACGTAAATGGCAGGGCAAACATGCCTAACGATAACAACAAATTTTAAAAATTAATATCATTTTATAAATTATTAAAAAAAAAATGTAATATACTTATACACCTATAATATTATTCCTGCAGAACATAAGCAATTAAACAACATAGGATAATATCATAGGATAATATCTGTATTCACGTTTATATGTGACTGTAATAATACCAAATTACAGAGCCAGAAAAAACACCTAACTAAAAGTATTTTCATAGTGCAGGCAAAAATACCAAACGATAATAAAAAACCTGGTTAAATACCAAGTATGAAACCGCAATTTTTCAAATTATTTGTGATATTAATGTTTTCAATTTATCAGTTCCCGTAGATTATGACGAATGTTTAATTCCTTTATACAAGTTATTTCAAAATAGTTCAGAGCTGTATTACACTATAATAACAGATTGAACTCCTTATTGTCTTTATTGGATTCTTTAATATATATAAATTTCAAAAATAGTCTTAGAAAACTTCTAAATGATATACAACTGAAAAAATTGGTTTTGAAAGTTGAAAGTCTCAAGTTGAGATCAACTATGCCACATATCCCTGCTAATATAATATTTATATATGCTTATTTGTCTATTTCATAATGAGTTTATACTAAATTCATGATATAATATCAAAACTGTAAGAAAAACATATCAATTAAATTGCGATTGGATATTTGGCACACGTGAACAAAACTATTCTCGACCAAAAAAAAAAAAAAAAAATGAGAATAGAGGAAGCTTATAAACAGCAAACAGAACAATCACAAAACAAGCAGATTTACATTTGTGGCGCACATTTAATTTTTTTTTTTTTTTTTTGTTTTGAATAATTATATTTTCTGATTTATTTAGTTTCTTTCTTTTTTACTAATTGGATGACTATACGTCCCTCACAGAGGCTGCAATTGCATTCGCTTTCGTTTATGACATTCGCATATGATTCCGTATGTGGATTTGTTCATCATTTGATGTTGATGATGATGCTGATGTTTCTGTTGATGTTGATGTTGGCATTGATGTACAGCTCAGAGCTCGTCGTGGCCGATGAACTTCTTAACGTACGACTGCAGTTCCGGCAGCGAGCGACTGCCCTCGTACTCGTTCTGGCGCTTGCCATTCTTGTAGAGGAAGAGAGTCGGATAGCCCTCGACCTGTTGGTCGATGCATATCTGTTTGTTTTCCGGCGATGTACAATCGACCTTGGCGATCACAATGTCCGCCTCGCTGGTTAGCGTCTCTGTGGCCAGCTGCTCCCAGGTGGGCTGCAGCTTCTGACAGTGTCCACACCAGGGCGCATAGAACTTGACGAATGTAATGCCATCGGCGATGGCCTTTTCGAATTCCTCGATGCCATTTAGCTGTTGCACAGTTTGCTTTTTAGCCTCATCTTGCGCTTCTTTAGCGGCATCATCTAGATCGTTGTTGCCTGTGCTTGGAGCACCGATCATTTTCTCCACATAGGTCTTAAGCGTGGCCAAGTCACGGGCACCAGCATATTTTTCAATCTTCTTGCCATCCTCGATCCAGAGCAGCGTTGGATAGCCCTTGACCTCGAAGTCCTGGCAGATGCTGCGATATTGTGTGCAATCGATTTTGGAAATCGTTGCATCCGGCTCCTTGATCAGCGCAGTGGCCAGCTCCTCCCAGGTGGGTGCCAGGCGCTAAACAATTCAATCCAATTAGTATGTGCACAGAAGTCAAGCAATGTGGATTTAATTACCTGACAGTGACTGCACCAAGGTGCAAAGAACTTGACAAAGTGATTGCCACTAGAAACGTGCTTGGCGAACGTATCTTCCGTTAGGTCAACGACCTTGCCCAAATTGGGATTCTTGTCGCTGCCCTCCTGCAGCTGCTGCTCATTCAAGTCCTCCTCGGCCGGTGTATTCAGCTCCTGGTTAATGAAATCCGTAATGGCAGGCAGATCGCGCGTGCCCTTGAACTTGACAGACTCCGTCTCGCCCAGCTTGAAGAGGCGCAGCGTCGGATAGCCGGTCACCTGATGATCGGCGCACAGCGTCTGATGCTTGGTGCAGTCCACCTTGGCAATGGTCACCTTTGGCTCATCAATGTTCATTATTTCAGCCAGCTGCTCCCACAGCGGATGCAGGCGCTTGCAGTGGCCACACCTGCAAGCAAAATTGTAGAGTCAGTAAAGATGTTGAGTTCGAAAACAACTCTAAGCAGGTAGTTCGAATTCGAATTAACTTCTAACAGCCGCAATTCGTGAGACGAAAGTCGAAAAATCTTCCTTTGTCCCAATTACAAAGTCAAAGTTGGAGTTTCCAAATCACCCTCTATAAATATCATATTAATCGAGTTCATTTCGATTTTGTTTTATATGAAAGCTATTTTCTTTCAGATAAGAAGTCTAGAAGCTTTGTATGATTCCAGACAAAGCACAGTCTATGGATTAGGGGTATAACAAAGCGGGCAACGAAAGTTTTAATACAAAGAGACCATGATATGTATGCATATGTATATGTATATATATATATGTAAGTATGTATGTAAACGCTGATAACGGGGCAATTGACTAACTAAATACGATTGTAAAACTTGAAAACGTAAGTGCGTGCGATGGGTGCTTAGTGTGTGTCAATCAAAGGCGCTTCATGACTTTTGTCAAGTTAAAAACTAAAAAAAAAAGTAAGCGAAAGCCCCTTTGACCGCTCGTAGCGCCCTTATCAAAGTACGTGGTATTCGAAATTCAAAAATAGAAGAATTGTAATCCTCAATTCGTCATCTAAACTTAATAAGTGATTCTATACTATCTGCTAGATATCGAGTGCGACACTCGTGATACTAGTCACGACTTGCAAAAAGGATGCCATCAAAGAGACAGAGAGAGAGAGAAAGAGATCAGTTGTTATCAATATTCATAAATATATATCGAATATATATGTTAATAGATATGTGTGTTGCGCCTCGTGTGCATCTTGTTCAAAAACAGATGCATGTGTGTCAACAACATTTGTGTCAACAACAAGGAAATGTGTTCTAGTTTTGTGTTTTACTATGTTTGCATACTTTTGTAGTACAAGTACATAATTATGAACAGATGTTTCTTTAAGATTGCGTGGCTTTGTCTGCATTGTCTGTATGTGTGTGTGTGCGTATGTGTGCTTAGCTCTCTATAAAACTTTAAATACATATTTGGTTATTTGCTTGGTCGGAATTTAACAAATTCTTGCAAAATTGACATATTAATAGAAATGCTATACGCGTTTTTTAGCAATTATTGCTTACCATGGCGCAAAAAACTTAACAAAGACATTGCCGGCTTCGATGGCCTCGTCAAATGTTTCCGGATTGAGCTCAACGGCAAATTGCTTGTCATCGGCCGGCTTTGCTGGTTCGTCAGTAGATGCGACTGCCAAAAAGGGTCTAAGGCTGAGCGCACAAATGGCCAGCGGTATAATTGATTTAAATAACATTTTGGAGTGTACAAAACTGTCGGTCTATCGTCTTTGCACTTATAAAATACACTACACTATATATTAGCTGTCGGCAACGGTGTGACCAAATATAGATATACCAAATATAAACAGATGGGTTGCATTTGCGGGTATCGATAACTATCGCAAGATATTCGATAACAATAACAGTTAAAAATTGGCTTTAAGTATTAATTTAATTTTTTTTAAATGTCTATGGCTAAACAATGTTGAAAAGTAAACCAAATTTGTATTTTCATTGTTTAATTTATATAACCACGATTAGGATTAATATATATTATTACACATAATGCATGCTTTTTTTTTAAATAAGACCAATTTGTAAAAGCTTAGATTCTTAAAAAATATTTTAATAATTAATATTCCGAAAATTTTAAAATATATATGTTTAGCTATGCGCTTTCATAAAAAAATAAACATCAAAATACTCTTTTAAAATTAAAATAATATATATATATATATATATATATATATATATATATATATATATATATATATATATATATATATATATATATATATATATATATATATATATATATATATATATATATATATATATATATAAATATACATATATTTATATATTATATTAATTTTCTTAAAAGTTTTTTGGAGAAATATATATTTGCCTAAACATTATATAGATTTCTTAAAAATTATTGTTTGTAATTTGATTTAATTTTTCATTTGACTTTTAATTTACTATAGGAATTCTGTATAGGATTCTGTTTTTAAATATATTTATATATTTAAATGGATCAATATCTTAGTTTTTGGGCATAATTAACTGAATGTCGTAAAGTCTGCTATGAAGAGTTCAACGATAGCGAGAATCAAACGGGGAGGCATAGATAAAAACAGTCTTAAGAGTCTTTGTACCATTTAAAGCGAACGGCACTTGTTTAACAAAACCCAGAAAACAATATAGTAATTAACAATTATATGTTTTTTTGTTTGTTTAAATATCGATTGCAATTTCTTCCTTTTTTGATTCTATTTTAATGCCAAACAATTGGTATTTGACTTTTAATAGCTAGGTCCTCAGTAGCTGGAGGCGCCAATCATTTTGCGTATCTGCTCGAAGGACAACCAGAAGGTGAGCGACCAAGGCGCCATGCGTATCCAGCAGGGCAGGAATCCCTTGTATAGAGCGACGAAGCCCTCCTTGCCAACCGTTTGGCGTAGACAGTCCACCGAGCCGCGATAGAGCAGGCCACTGCAAAATTATATAGTTAGGGAATGGAATTGGTTGAACGATTGCCTGCTTACCGTCCCAGCTCGTCGGTGGGCTGGTTCATGATGCGCGTCTTCACCACATCCGCCGGTGTGCCCATAATGGCAGCCACAAAGCCGGCACAAATGGAGGCGAGCACATGGACCGTATGGCAATCGGGCATTTGTAGACGGTGCATGATCAAATGTTTGATCGTATCATATGTGGTCAGATCGCCCAAATTGACTAATGCCGCACGCTGCACATTCGGTATGCTGCCCTTCCACAGACCCTTGACGCCGCCCCGTTGCACAATCTTGCGAAACGCGTGTGCGGCACCATGAACTCGCGGCGGCTCGCCCATCAATCGCCGCTTGCCCTCCATTTGAATTTGAACCTTGACCAGATCCGCTGGCGAGGCCAACCATTGAGCCACTGCACCGGCTGTGACGCCGCATAGAGCAGATTTCCAAACGGGCAGCGCCTGGCTGCCGTTCGCGGTTAGCTCCTTGCGCATCAGATCATAGCTACAGATGCGCACGCCACTGTCAAGGGAGGAGGACGAGATTAGTTCAAGCTAGCTGCAACTGGATATGTGGAGCAAATGTATCAGGAATGCTTGAGGCAATTGCATCGGATGCTACTTAAAGAGTGGCACAGATCATTTGAATTTGAATAATAGTACTTGGTTTGTAGCTTGTTGGTTCAATTGATTGATTGATTGCCCACCTATAGACGACGTGTCTGTAGAGCGCCGGCGTCACGCCCTGCCACAATTTGAGGGCGCCCTCCTCGCGTACAATGCCAAAGGCCGTGGCGACCATGCCGCGATATTGCATCTGGTAATGGGGGGTTGTGGTTCAGTTACATAACATATATATATGTGCAGCTCATATTGTGTATATACATACATATACATATACCTATCCTATACATAAACATACACACACACACACATGTACATGTATAGAACACGGTCTGAAATTGTTTGTTTGATTTTTTTGTCATTTTACATTTCACATTTAAAAAACGCACAGAAATGGATTTATGGATATTTGGCAGCTAGTGGGGTAGGTAGGTGGGTTGGTTGGGTTTATAACAGTCAACTAATCTTAAGTTCTCTATAAAGCCATATCTCACGTCCAGAGGGACACTCCCCTCAACAGCAACACGAAAAAGGTAACAAATTAAAACGCCAGCACCATTCGGCTTATCAGCATGCTGATAATGCACATGACTGACCAAACGTAAGAAAAAAATACAATAAATAAATAAATAAGCTAATGTTAAGTTCGGCACGCCGAAGCGCTTATCTTGATTAAGTGATCCCCCTCTCAGGCAGAAGGTTACAAGTTGTGGGCGTTTGTCAACACTGCAAAGCGGATAGACGGATCGTTCGTTCGGGTTGGGTTAATGGTCCTGCAAGGGTAACGGTTATTAGCAAAAGCCGGGATCAAAAAGCTAGCATGCATGAGAGACCAACACAATAACAAACGGTTAACACCAAAATACCAAAAATATACAAAAAAAAAAATATCAAATAAAAATAAAAAACACTTAAATATGTGCAAACTACTCACGTTGGCTTTGGCACTGCCGCCAATTCTGGTATTGGTGGGAGCTGTGCTGGCCACACTGGCGGCCTCGCCTTGGATTTGCAAGCGGGTCTTTGTGAGATCCAGCGGATAAGTGGCCAGCTCGGCTATGGAGGCGGCTACAACCGAAACAATATATGTGCAGGCAAATGAGTCCGCATAATCATATTTAACTGGTCGCAGCTGATGGCGTCCGCTGTTGATAGCGCCATTGGTTACCGTTGCCGACGTCGCTGAGGCTGTTGCAGTTGTCGCTGGTGCATTGGTGCTGGCTTCTGCGCTGGGTACACTGGTCGTGGTTATGGCAGCGGCAGCTGCAGCAGCAGTTACTGCAATAGTCTGTGATGCTGGCATCTTTGAACTGTAATTGCATTTATTTATTAACAAATTCAATTAAAAATATTCAACTATTTGTTTTGGTAGCTGGCCAAAAATAAACTATGCAGCCCTGTTGCTGCTGCTATTGCCACTGCTGCTGTTGCTGAAGTCAATAATTGAAAGCGCAAAGATCGCGTGACTTGTTAAGCAATATTGAAGCTGCTTTGATTTACGGTTCAACTTTTCAAGGATGATGCTGTGCGCACAATTGGCTCTTGTATATTTTTACATAACAATGACAACAGCAGCAGTACAAGCAAAAACAGCAATAACAAGCAGCGGCAACTGCTGCCAACGACGTCAATGTACGAAGAAACAAAAACAACACAAAAAGGCAAAACCAAAATTAGTTTTTGTTGTGTTTGTTATGCTCGCCTTCTTATTCCCGTAGCCGTTTAACGGCGTCTTATGTTCAATTAAACGCACGCCCTGACCGCGTACTCATTGCAGAATTGATTTGTATGTTTCAAACTGATATTGCTATAAGTGTGTATTTTTCTTTTCTTCTTTATGAGCGCTTATCAATTGTGCATCAATAAAACAAAAAATATATATGTGTTGCACAAAAACAAAAACAAGCCCGAAACTGAGTACAGTGCTGTACAAGGGTGCATAGTGTGTAGAAGGTTTGACAGCGCAAGATTTGTGCTGGATAACTTAAAAACTGCAACTCATAAAAATTAGACAATATACAAAATTTAAATTTTTTAAAATTTAAAATTTTTTAATATGCGTTTATTAATATGTCTGAGTAATGTGTTTGGTAATTGAATTGTCGGTTTTAGAGCCACAATTGTGAACGTTAGTTGCCAACACTGTACTGCAGTTTGCGATATATCGAATTCTATCGATAACAATTGCTGCACAGCGAACAGCTGTTTATGACTTAATTGGCCTTGCTTTTCAAAAACGGGCTTTGCTGTTGCTTTATTTACTATGCGCACTGCGTACGTTATACGCTGATTACTTCATAGCACGGCCCAGTAACTAAGGCGGCTATCAAACAATATATGCAATAATAAAATCAAACACGGTCAGATATAACAATTGCAACATCAAATTGATAAAATCAGCAACAACAATAAGAAAAACAACAATAACACGAAAAGAACTCGTTAATGTAAGTAGCAATATGGTATGAATCAAAAGATAATAAGTAATCTATACTTGTGTGTGGGTGTGTGTGTGTGTCTGTTTTTTTTTTTTTTGGCGTAGTATGAGCAAGACAGAAACAGCCCCACCCAAAGCCGAGTCGAGCGCTCGGCAGAAACTGGATACGTATCGAGTCTATGTGATAACCTGGAATGTTGGCAGCCGATTCCCGGATAACATTTCGCTGCGCCAGCTGCTGGGTCTGCATGGCGAAGCCAGCGGCGATGCTGCTCAGGAACTGCCCGATATATATGCAATTGGATTGCAGGAAGTGAATGCACAGCCACAGCATCAGGTGCTGGGCCTCTTCAAGGAGGATCCGTGGACGCACAAGGCAAAGCATCTGCTGCGCGACTACAACTATGTGGCCGTCAAGACAGAACAGATGCAGGGCCTCTTGTTGACCATGTTTGTGCGCCGGCCCCATGTGGAGCATCTGAAGGACATCGAGGCGGAGTTCACGCGCACAGGCTTTGGCGGCATTTGGGGCAACAAAGGGGCAGTGAGTGTGCGATTCACGCTCTATGGCTGTGGCCTGGCCTTTGTGGTGGCTCATCTGGCTGCACATGACCATCAGCTGGACGAGCGCATCGAGGACTACAAGCAGATACTCGAGAGTCATCATTACCATGTGAAACGCTATCGTGAGATCTACGATCACGACTATGTCTTCTGGTTTGGTGATCTCAACTTCCGGCTGGAGGGCAGCGACAGCGCCATCGAAGTGCGCGACGCCCTTGCCGACGATGCCAAGCACGAAGCGCTGCTGCAGCGGGATCAGCTGTACCAAGTGCGCGAGCGCACGCAAAAGGCATTTCAGGTGCTGCACGAGCGTCTGCCCGCCTTTCCGCCCACATTCAAGTTCAAGGAAGGCACCTCCGAGTACGATATGAAGCGACGACCCGCATGGACAGATCGCATCATGTACGCCGTGCAGCCGCTCAATCGCCAGCCGGGCATGCAGCTGGCCATCGAGCAGTGCTCCTACAAATCGCATCCCGCCTACAATATCAGCGACCACAAGCCGGTCAGCAGCGAATTTACGATCAAGCTATATCCCAATTATCGTGCGCCGGGCGTTACCTTTACGCCAATCTCTGTCTGGAAGATTGGCGACGAGAATACCGTGGAGTATCGCAAGCATGCGGAATTCGAGGAGGGGCCCAACGATTGGATTGCCATCTATGGCATCGAATACGCCAGCCTGGCGGATTATGCGGCCTACGAGTATGTCAATCAAGCTGAATCGCCCAATTCCTCGGACTCGAATCACGAACGGGACTACTTTGATACGCCGGCTCCGCATCGCCATCATCATCATCGCAATCGGCAACGCCTGCGCCGCCAACAGGATGCCAACGAGGAGCTCGTCCGACTTGACTTCGCCGACGATGTCGAGCTGCGCCACGGCGAACAATATGTGCTCATCTACTTCCGCAGCACCGGGCTGCGTGGCGTCACCAGCATCGCGCACATCTCCGGCCCCTTTGTAGCCGAGAAGCGCAGCGGATCGCCGCATCGCACCGAGTACCACGTCGACTAGCTAGCGGAGGCCCTCGACATCTATATTCTGTAGTCGCAAGATCAAACACCTAACGCCTATGCCCTAATTTGTTAAATATCACTCGATCTACACATATATGTTATGTATATCTATCGCAATATGATCCATGTGAATGCATTTCTTGTTAACGATCTGTAATTGTTTTCTATCTATGTATATTTATATATATAACCATTTTGATATGCCTGCTTATACATTTCAATACACGTTACGTGATTCTTATACATATATAGATATGATTATTATTTTATTTTATTTTATTTTACTTTACTTTACTTTATTGTTTACGATATATGTTATGTAATACACAAATACACGATCAAACTAGACCAATTGTCAGACTGTTCCCAGACATATATATACACATACATATACATATGAATACGAACTTTTATATTATCCATTTACAAGGGCCTTCAGTTTATATATATAAATGCATATATTTATGATACTTTGTTTATACATACAACTCCAGTATTATAACTCGGCGGCATTTACAAAGCCTTACTACCCACTTCGATATTTGATATCAATTTTGTCTACAGTTTCAACAGATTTTTCTCATAGACCAAGGTTTTCGTATAGGTATACCCAGTTATAAAAGTTTTACTGCTCTACCTTCAGCTATGATTTATTTCTCACTTACAATTTCCTACATATACATACGTTTACTAAAAATAATATATATATATATATATATATATATCCTCTGCTTTTAAGATCTGCTGCACTACCTGCTCACTTTTGTGTTATCTCTCTTGATGACACTTGTAATGGGTATAGATAACCATATAGCTATATATATAGCTGGCATTATTCACAATTGTTGCAGTTCCTATAGTGCCCTATCTTAAGAGGTAATTATGATTTTCTGTAGAATTTTATAGCGTTCTATGGTATTGTAAATATGAAAAGTTGATAGTCAATATTTATAGGCGTATTACTTAGTCATAGGCTTTATGTGTCTATTTGGTACTTGCAATTTCCTTCAAATATCTGATTGTTATATATATATATACTCAGTTTATTTAAATGGTGTGCTCAGATAAAAGTTATCGATGCTCATTATAAAGGAACCAACTATATATGCATATATATCTAGTATATAGTATACTTATAAACTATATAATATATACTATAAAATATCAGATATATGGCTCTGATAGTTTTCATTAAAATAATCGATAAATATTGATAACAGCACTTTAATTTGCACCTGAGACTCTCAAAGAGCGACTTAAGTCAAGTAGAGCTCAGGCTAGCAGGGTATCTGCTAGTCAATCACACCTGGCTAGAGCCAACTTTCCGGTTTTAGCCATGTTTTCTGCAATGATCTTTATTTATATATATGATGTGCGTTGCTGAAGCATTTGAAGTGCTTTAAAGGGAAACCTGTTTTTGCACTCGTAATCCCCATTAAGTTTAATGACGTCACAAGCGTATTGCCACACCTGCAGCTCCGATTTGCATACAAAAAGATGACAAATTCGCCATGGCCCAAAAAAAAGAGAAGCATACAAATAATACAATTTCTATATATTATATATCTATTTGAAGCTGTCAAACGTTTAACTTTTCTTTAAAATGAGTTTTATTGGATGGTTTTTCTTTTTCTTTTTATTTTCGTTTTATAGATAAGCATATTATATATATATATATATATATATATATAAATACAAATACAAATATAAATAGAAATATAAATACATGATATATAGTTGCCTGCGCTAGTTAGTCATGACTTTTTATGCACAAATACAAAATACTAGATAGTACACATACATGCTATATAGATATATACACACGCTTCTACATATATATAGATATATAGATATATATAATGGGGAAAAAGCTCATTAAATTGTTTGCTCAGTTTTCATTTTTCAGTTTTTCCGTTTTTCAATTTTCGATTTCGTTTAACAATTTTCACATCAAAATTTTGTGCGCAATAAATTTGAAGTAAAGCGCAAATATGGGCAGATCAAGGAAGGTACGCTCCATAAATAATCATGAAAGATATACGAATAAAAAAATATACAAATATTGCAATTGGTCATTGTCTAATATTAATCAGGTTCTTCTATATATTTATATTATTTTTTGAATAGATTTTGCAGACTTTTTCAATTTCAAATTGTTTCGAGCTTTGTTTGGAATACTTGTAGGATCTATGTATATATATATATATATCTAGATATACGTATGTGCCGATAAAAATAGTGTGCTTAAATATTAGTTATGCTCTACACTATATTCGTTGATCAGTGACGTATGTTATATATATGGATAGTATTATTCGAGTAGATGCATCAATTTCAATTGTTCAATTACAATAGCTATTAATATATATATATGTATATACAGTTATATACAATTGACTGTTTGTTCGAAGTATCAGAAATATCTTATAATCGAATGCACTATATAAAAAATATATCTATATATATATATATATACATATATCTTTATATATATATATAGTTTTATAGGTATTCGCTGCCTTTGCCTCAGTCAGTTGATAATTTAAAAATATTCGTTGTAGTTGCTTTAAAAAGTGTTTAAAAGAGCGAAAGAAAAACAACAAATAAACAAAATGATATGTACTTAAATATAGGACGTTCACGTTATTAGGAGTGGGGGCTGAAAGAGGGGGAAATTACTTTTGGCTGAACACTTTGGAAGTAAACTATACGAATACAGCTATCATAATACAAATGTGCTTAAATAGCTATAAAAAAAATTATTAAATTTTAGTTTACATTTGTTTTTGTTTAGTTTTTCTTTTTTGTTGGTTTTTAAAACGCATTTAAAATGATTTTTCTTCGTCTCTCTTCGTATGCGTTTAACGCAGTAATAAATTAAAATATTAAAAAAAAAATATAGTTTGAATAATTGTACTTTTTTTTAGTTTCTGCGATTTTTGTAAATGTAAAAAAAAAATACATTTTGTTAATGGGGGCGGGGTAAGGGCATTTGCAAGTCGTTCAACTGCAGCACGGCGACAACACTGATCTGGCAACTCTGCGCGCAGGTCTGGCAGCCTCACCAGCTAACTGTGCATGGCGCGTCTGTCCGGTTAATTAAACGCGCTTTCTTCTTTCGGCTTCTTTATGTCTGTTTTTTGTCTATTTGTTGTTGCTTTTTCTCATTTCGCTTCTATTTATATTATTTTTTATGTTGCTTTGCGCCATTTAACCTTGATCAGTTTGCATTCCGTTGAACTTTTGTGTTATTGTTATGTCTCTCTCTCTGTGTGTGTGTGTCCATATCAAAGTAAACTATTTAACCGTTCACAATGTTTGTTTAATTAAAGGCGCGCTAAAAAACAACACACACGCATGCACACACACACATAAGCAATATTGTTTCCAGTGTTTACAGTTATAGCCTCCGCTTTCAGCTAGAATGGCAGGCAATAAAAGTTCCACAACTTCCCACAGCATCCACGTTCCACTAATGGCAACGCAATCCACATGCTCCACTCGAAATCAATAGATGTTAAATTCTAAAATAAAAGAGATAGAAACAGTTTGCTTTAGAAATCGAAATGTTAAATTTGTGATATATGTATTAATACCAATTGCAAAACTCCAATTAGTAAGCCACAAGCATTTCAAATTTGATTAAGCTATCGAAATGACAGAAAACAGCGAACGAGACAGACACAGGCACACAAACACACATGCAAGTTAACGACGAAAATATGCTGCATTGTAACAATATCCAACGGAAATTGTTGCAACACAAATGCAACATAATCCGACCAATAAGCCCAATCTGTGGACTTCCTGCACACGCCAACCTGAGCTTCAACAATTCCAAGAAGAATTGCACCACGGTTCAACAACACCAAGAGCGACGTCGCTGCCAACGCCGACTGAACGTCGACTGAACCACAACTTAGCTTAGGGATAGAATTGATTTAAGCGTGAGTTGTAAAATTCGGTTCGAACAAGACAGTCCGTCTTGAAATAAAATATATTTTTAAATTTAAAACGAACAAAGAATTTAACTGGCGCCCGAGCAGGGACATGACTTCGCGCGCAATACAGCAAAACAGTTCGTACGTGCGTGATACTGCTAGATCAGAAGCAGAGTCGGTTGAAAAGTGAAAAAACTATCGCGATACAACACAGCAAAACGACTGTACGTACACGACAACTCAGCTATAAACTTGATAGTGAACAGACAGTGACGCGAGAGAGTGATAATACTCTAAGTGCCCCTGCTGCAGAAAAAACCCGCAGAGTCTGTGCGAAAGAATCGAGGCAACTCACGTTGATTAATTTCAACGTTCGATTCAAATTCGCTAAAAGGTAGTCTGGAACTTAATTATTCGACTGCCCATCGGTGAACGATAATCCTGTACGGTCCGTCCACAGGATACTCCAACGGAGTCTGGTCGCAGGATCCCCAGTAGGAAAACCAAAAAGGATGAAATCCGGGCCAGCAGTGGAGATCGCCACATCATCATTAATACCACTTGCAATACTGGTGATGATGGCACAACCCATTGAACCGACTATGGACATAACGAACCATACAGAAGCACAAACCATTACGATCTACGATGGACTAGGCAAAATACAATCAAGAACAACAAGAATTATTCGCATCATCAATTTGAACAAAATTAAAGAAGCCTTAGAACAAATAGAGTTTCACACAGAAAAAGACTTAAAATTTAGCAGCCTATACCATACGAAATTAACCAAACTCACTTGACTTTACGTAACATAGAATATGACGTTAACAAAAGACCCTCAAGGGCCATCAACATGCTAGGCACTGCATGGAAGTATATAGCAGGCAACCCAGATCATGATGACTTCGTTCAAATAGAAGAACATATAAATAAAGTTATAGATAACAATAACAAGCAAGTAATAATAAATTCACAGCTAGAACAGAGACTGAACAAACTAACTACAATAACCAATAGCCTTACAAACAACATCAGGAAAGACGATAGATTCATACATGAAATAGCAGAAAGTTTACAAAACCAAGTTAGACTGATTAAGGAGGAAGCTACCAATATAAAATACGCCATACAATGGGCAAAAGTTAACGTAGTAAACTCATTCCTATTAAAAGAAGCAGAAGTAAATGAAATAGAGAGAATATTCAAAGCTGGAGGAATGCCCTCATTGTCCGTAGAAGAGATGCTAGAATATTCAGACGTGGCCATATTTCACAATACGACTACTTTATTTTATGTAATAAAAATACCTAACGTAGAAGAAACCGAATATGAAAAGCTAATTGTGAAACCTGTTATAAGAAAAAATGTTATAGAATACAAAGAAATATTGTCTCACAAAAATGTAATGTATGGAATCATAAAAGATTGTAAAAATTATAGTAATATTAAGATCTGTTCTAAAAATAACATTGTCAATATTAGCAATAGTACATGTTTGCCTAGGCTCCTCAATGGAGAAAAATCGCTGTGTGAGTTCAGTAACGCCGAGCATGTGGAACCCATCGAAGCACTAGCCAACGGCCTATTGATCCTCAACAACTTTAACGGAATGGTGGCATCAACAAGAGCGAGCACCCGGTTAAACGGCACGCATGTCATTCGTTTCGTCAACGAGTCCATTTCGATTGGCAACCGGACTTTCAACAACCTCGAGACAAACACACTAAGAGTCGGATCATCGATAATACAAATGACACCAGAAGAATCGAGACGACTCCAAATTCTATCGCTGGAAGCTTTGCAGGCATTACACATCAACAATAGCAAAAAACTGGAAAAACTAAAACTCACGACACACGCAGTATCATCCATAATATTGATCTGCATAGTCGTGATAATCATCGTCATTGCCTTCCTCTATACAAGGAGAGAGAGAAAGATAACGTTACTATTGGATAACAACCAACCAAAAAAAGTAACAGAGGCACCAAGACGAACAATAGAAACCATACAGTTCAACGACATTCCTTTCTTTTAATGATCACTTGAGGACAAGTGCAAATTAGAAGGGGAAGAGTTAACGACGAAAATATTCTGAATTGTAACAATATCCAATGGGAATTGTTGCAACGCAAATGCGACATAATCAGACCAATAAGCCCAATTTGTGGACTTCCTGCCCACGCCAACCTGAGCTTCAACAATTCCAAGAAGAATTGCACCACGGTTCAACAACACCAAGAGCGACGTCGCTGCCAACGCCGACTGAACGTCGACTGAACCACAACTTAGCTTAGGGATAGAATTGATTTAAGCGTGAGTTGTAAAATTCGGTTCGAACAAGACAGTCCGTCTTGAAATAAAATATATTTTTAAATTTAAAACGAACAAAGAATTTAACTTATATATACTAATTCCAATTGCAAACTCCAATTAGTAAGCCACGAGCATTTCAAATTTGATTAAGCAATCGAAATGACAGAAAACAGCGAACGAGACAGACACAGGCACACAAACACACATGCATACGCTAACGTTTTCGTACGTGCGATGACGTAAAATGCACCGCAACCGCAATTCCAATCAGAATCAGCTAATTTAAATGTTGCCGTTTTCTCACACTCGAAGCATTTTTGTGGCTGACAAGCGGCAGCACTTGAAAAAAAATAAATAAAAATAAGAAAAGCAAAAACAACAAAACACAGCAGCGCTACGAAATAATAGATGAAGAGGAAGAGACAGCAATAATGTAAACCTAAGCACAAAAAAAAATGCCTCAACAATAAATTCCTTGTGACTGGGCGCCGTTCATGTTGTTGTTGTGGCTATTGCTGCTGCTGCTGGCGTTGCTATTGGTTGCGTTTTCATAAACAAAACACATGCACAAATGCTTAGAAAGTATGTATGTGTGCTGTTTGTAAATTGCCATTTGAAAGTCTTTTCAACAATGGGAACGCATTGTCTTGTATTTTGTTATTTGTGGGCATTCCTTGACGCCTGCCCGGCTGCCAGTGGCGTTTTGCAACACTGCCTGCCTGTGACTTTTCAATTAGAATAGCAAATTGTTCAAGTCGAGGCCTTTGCTCTCACCACTCAATCAGCACTCCCTATGTATGTATTCTATATGTATAAGTTAACACAATTGATCAGCAGAACGTAAATATTGAAGCTGACCATGCATTCTCAGCATAAATGCTTACGACACCAGCTGTCTCAAGCGGACATTGCACAACAGCGGAAGCGTCCACGCGCAACAATGTTGCTGACCAGCGACCTAGTACTGTATGCAATGCCAGCGTTTTCAGGGCTTAGGGCTAGCTTCTATTATAAGAACGATTGTCAAATAGAGTTAGTTGATTTTTGGAAATAAAGAACGTCGGTCATCGCCACGGAATTCACAAAGTCTTCTCATTTTTCGAATAAGTGTTAACGCCGATACTCCGTACGCGCTTAACATAATTTCGAAATCTTAAAATAAATAACTGGCGCCCAACGAAATCGGAAAAAAAAACCCGAACTCAATTAAACAAATATTCAAAAAATAATTTGTGAAAAAAACCCGAACTCAGTTAAACAAATATTCAAGAAATAATTTGTGAAAAAAAAAAAAACCCGAACTCTATTAAGAAAATTTCCAACAAATAATTTGAAAAAAACCCGAACTCAATCAAACAATTATTAAAAAAAATTTGTGAAAAAAAAAACCCGAACTCAGTTAAACAAATATTCAACAAATAATTTGTGAAAAAAAACATTATAAATTACAACTAATACGCAACAAAAAAAGTTCACCGAGGGATTCATCAAACCATCAGCTCTACGAAAATAATATAAGAACATGTAAGTAGGGTGTTCAAAAAAAAAAAAAAAAAAAGAATAATAATAAATAAAAATTGTAAAAATACAATTCCAACTGTTCAACTAAATTTTAATTGTATAAAAAACACTACACATATCTTATTTGCATGTTATGAGTGATAGTGAGATACAAGATTTAGTAAAAAAATTTCAAAGTATAGATACAGGTGAAAAAATAAAAATGTCTTTATCTAACGAACAGTTAAGAGCGATTGTAGAAGGCGCAGTTACAAGCGCATTAAGAACCCAAAAAGAAAACTTTGATCAGAAATTACGCGACATAGAACAACGTATTGGTTCTGTACAAGTTAGCACTCCTGAAGTAGAAACATTTAGAGAGGCCGAGATCAGGGCAAGCGTCATTTGCAATGAAACCCTTGACATAATGAAATCCCTTCCAGAATTTGAAGGAAAAAATGAGACTTATGTATCATGGAGGAAAGCTGCGCATACCGCATACAAAGTATATGAAAAATATGATGGTAGCTCGAAACATTATCAAGCTTTAGGAATATTAAGAAACAAAATTAAAAACGCCGCCGATATGGTACTCTCTTCGTTTGACACTCCTCTGAATTTTAGGGCCATTATAAATCGGTTAGATTTCACGTACGCAGACAAAAGACCGATATACCTAATTGAACAAGAGCTGTCAACACTCCGTCAAGGAAATCTGACACTACTACAGTACTATGACGAAGTGGAGAAGAAACTGACTTTAC